CTGCGGAAGAGCAGCCCGGCGGCGCTCGGCGGAGAGGCCGGAGGTAAAGCGCTCTGTTATGTAACTGAAAATATTTGAAGATTCGATCGGTTGGTTTGAAATAGTGAATAAGGCTGAATTACATATTACGATTTCATGGACACTTCTTTTGGGTTTTTTTGTTGTTGTTCATGATGATTTTTATTGTAATGATGGTTTAGTCCCTGGAAGAGTTCGAGTTGCTGTGAGATTACGGCCGCCCAACGCGGAGGATCTAGCCGCCGATGCTGATTTTGCTGACTGCGTTGAATTGCAACCGGAGGTATTCTGTGCTACTCGAGATCAATTTTGATGAACTTTGTTGCCCATGGTGTAATGTTCATGGCAGTTTTTGATCATGCATTTAAGTGTTTGATTCTCAGCTTAAGAGACTGAAACTGCGAAAGAACAATTGGGACACTGATACATACGAGTTTGATGAAGTGTTCACTGAGTATGCTTCACAGAAGCGTGTCTATGAAGTGGTGGCTAAGCCTGTCGTGGAGGTAATATCTGCACATTGATGGACCCTTTTGTCCCTTTTGATGAATTGTTTATGATCAATATCCAGAGCTTGAATCGTTGTTGAAACATCTTAGATAGATGTTTTTTTCCGATGTTTTATCGTGATTAGGGTGTTTTGGATGGATACAATGGGACGATAATGGCATATGGACAAACTGGTACTGGTAAAACATACACTCTTGGCCGTTTAGGGGAAGAAGACGTGTCTGATCGTGGAATAATGGTTCGTGCTATGGAGGACATCTTAGCCGAAGTGTCTTTGGAGACTGATTCGGTTTTTGTCTCCTACTTGCAGGTAGTTATGTTTCTCGATGCTATATCGGGTCACACATTAGATTTCATATGGATTTTAGGGTAGTATGCTTAATGTAATTTTCTGATTGGGGTTGCAGCTTTATATGGAGACAATACAGGACCTTCTTGATCCATCTACCGATAATATTTCCATAGTTGAAGTGCCAAAAACCGGAGACGTTTCTCTCCCAGGAGCTACTGTGGTTGAAATTAGGGACCAACAGAGCTTCTTGGAACTTCTAAGATTAGGAGAAGCACACCGGTTTGCTGCCAACACCAAATTAAACACCGAGTCATCTCGTAGTCACGCTATTTTAATGGTAGAACGTAACTGATCGATGACCATTGTTGGTGAAAACTTGTTTATTTGGTTTGAAGCCACAAATTCATCTCTATAGTTGACATTGCAGGTACAAGTAAAGCGGTCGTTGAGAACAAGAGATACTCTTTCAAATGAGAGTAGCGGAAACTCTCATACGTCCAAATCTCTTAAACCTCCGGTTGTCCGGAAGGGAAAATTAGTTGTGGTGGACCTTGCTGGCTCAGAGCGTATCGATAAATCAGGTGAACACATTCATTAAGAGGAACAAATTGAATTTTAGGCTATACATGGATTTTGACGCTAAGTTTTACCCTTTTTGTTTTTAATCTTAGCTGAAGTCATGTTGTTTATTTGTCATACCAGGAAGTGAGGGACATACACTAGAGGAAGCGAAATCTATTAATCTATCGTTGAGCGCGTTGGGGAAATGCATCAATGCGCTAGCAGAAAACAGTCCTCATGTCCCATTTCGCGATTCAAAGCTAACCAGATTGCTTCGAGATTCATTTGGAGGCAAGTTGTTAGTCATTGCTCTTCAGGTTTCAACTGAATTTTATGACTTTTTCACTATCTTAACGATTAGATGGAAAAAAAAAAAACGAGCTGTCATCAATCCTTGATCTATGACTTTCTTCTAATTCTTCTGTGCTAACTTACCTTGACATGTGGCCTACTATCATAACAGGCACAGCAAGGACCTCCTTAGTTATTACAATTGGTCCTTCCCCACGACATCGAGGGGAGACATCAAGCACTATAATGTTCGGGCAAAGGGTAGGACCCATAGCTTAAGACTTCTTTAAATTGTTTTCTGTTGGTATTTCATTTCAATTTTATAGATATCATTCTCTCTCTTTTTTTTAAAAAAAACTTTTAACATATATAAGTTATCTGCTTATGCTCTGACTCTTGATTTGGCTTTTATCTGTTGCTAACTGTAGCACTCTCCTGTGACCTGTATAGGCTATGAAAGTGGAAAATATGTTGAAGTTAAAGGAAGAATTTGACTACAAAAGCTTGTCTAGAAGGCTTGAGGTACAGATGGAGAATCTAATAGCAGAAAACGAAAGGCAGCAGAAAGCTTTCGTGGATGAGATCGAGAGAATAACCATAGAAGCTCAGAATCAAATTGCTGAGGCAGAAAGGAGATATGCCAATGCATTAGAGGTGAGTTCGTTTTGTATGAAACAGGCTTAGTTCCCTCTGGTCTACTGATTTGGTTCTCGTTATCATTGTGTAGGAGGAGAAACTAAGGCATCAAAAAGATTACACGGACTCGATAAAGAAGCTCGAGGAGAAATGGTCAAAGAATCAACAAAAGCTACCCGCAGAAAGACTTGCGCTCGGGGAGAAAAAAGGCATAGACGTCACATCAAATGGAAATGTAATGTTTCTCTATGACGTGCATAATATTTCATTTACCTTGCAGCTAATTTCACCTAACTCAGATGTATACTTTATACTCAGGGATCGGTAACCCCATCCATTGAGGAAGCCTTTGAACTGAAAAAGTTGCTTCAGAAAGAAACTCAACTCAGGATTGCAGCTGAAGAGGAAATCAACAGCCTAAAACTTCGGTTCTCTGAATTGAAAAATTTAGAAGTATGTTCAAAAATCTTCCTTCATTTAAACACACACACAAATTACTTATAGATCTACATATCTTCGCAGGTATCAGGAAATTCTGAGATTTTTAAACTCCACAAGTTGTTGGAAAATGAGACACAGCAGAAACAAAAACTTGAAGGGGAAATAGCGATACTGCAAACTCAATTACTCCAATTGAGTCTTAATGCTGACGAGGTACACATCAATGGGTTTTCATTGGAATTACTTAAATATTTGTCTGTTATCAAACATGAAGAGATTTTTTGTTTTCCAAGGTTGTCCTGCTTTATACATTGCTTACCTATCTATACTGGCAGACAAGAAAAAACCTCGAGAGACACGGTCCAGAGAGAACTCCCAATGCTCTCGATTCTCTTATGTCTCAGTTAAGACTTCCTCAGCTCCAAGATCCGGGAAATGGCGAGAAATCCTCTGTAGCTAGACTCTTTGAGCAAGGTAATGTCTGAGGATTCCGCTCTTTGTTATCATTTCATTTCTCATCAAGATATGTAAATGATGCCTTAGTAATTAATTTTCTCTTTCTTTTTCTCCCTCTTGCATACCGAATATTTCAAAGTGGGTCTGCAAAAGATATTATCCCTGCTCGAAGCAGAAGACACCGATGTGCGGATACATGCTGTCAAAGTGGTTGCAAACCTAGCTGCTGAAGGTTTCTTTCTTCATTTATTTTTTGCTGTCTTCATCTTTGGCCTCTTAGCAGTTGTGATCTTATAATGCAACTTTGCGGTTCCTCGAGTGAGGCTTGCATAGAATTCTCCCGACGAAACATTTTGCGATCCAGTATATTACTAGATTTAGAATCGACGATTTAGAAAAATGAGTTTCGCCTAAGAAGTCTCAGTGTATTTTGGCTTTAACTGGTTATTTATTGTATGGTCACCCAGAGGGAAACCAGCAAAAAATTGTGGAAGCTGGAGGGCTGACGTCTTTGTTGATGCTTCTGAGAAATTCCGAAGATGAGACCATCCACAGAGTTGCTGCTGGTGCAATCGCCAATCTTGCTATGAATGGTAATACTACCCATGATGCTGCTTCTGACACTTATGACCTGACCATACTGTGGCTTCTCACAAGTCTCCGTTCTCATTCACAAAAGTGTAACAATTTCTTCGTTCGGGTTTTTCTCAGAAACTAACCAGGAAATGATAATGGATCAAGGGGGCATCAGTTTACTGTCAATGACAGCAGCCAATGCTCAAGATCCTCAAACCCTCAGAATGGTAGCTGGAGCAATTGCTAATCTATGTGGAAATGGTAATTCGACCTTCTGAAACTTTCCAATTGAAAAACTGTGTTTGAAGTTGAACGTACATCTTTTACATGGTTACGTTTGAACACAAATTTACTGATAGAAACCCAGATTTGACCTGCAAGGCCAATGATTTCTCCTAGGCCTCTCCCTATATAGAAACCCAGATTTGTTATTTTCAGAAAGAAATCGCCTTGATCTGATCTGATTCAGTTTCCTGCTTGTCGCCAGACAAACTGCAAGCGAAACTGAGATCGGAGGGTGGCATTACGGCTTTGTTGGGAATGGTCAGATGTGGACACCCCGACGTTCTTGCACAAGTTGCTCGCGGATTCGCTAACTTTGCGAAATGCGAGTCGAGGGCTTCAACCCAAGGTAAAAAATGACTCCAAATCAGAAATTACTTTCGTTTAGCGAGCAAGCATCAAAACCTGGAAGAAGAAAAAGTATAAATGACTGATTTCCTTGGAAAATGGTTTAAGCAGGAACAAAAAGTGGAAAGTCGGTCTTAATAGAAGATGGTGCACTGTCTTGGATCGTACAAAATGCCAAGACCGAAGCTTCATCGATCAGGCGACATATCGAACTAGCTCTCTGCCACTTAGCTCAGCACGGTGAGTGTCTACATCAATATACATACATACATACATACATGCAGCTCTCTATCAGATAGTACTGAGAGTTCAAACCAACCTACGCCCACCCCTAGCGACATATCAGATAGTACCCAGAGATTTTGGGGTCTCGAGGGTACCACACCCGGGAAAATCTGCAAATTTTTGTTCACGCGAGTTGACCATCTGGAGTGCAATGGGAATTTTGCACAAAATATAGACGCATGCGGCGGTAAAACAGGGGTAACCAGTCATGAGATGGTAAAACCCGAACCCGAAACCCTTGGTCTGGGTGGTCCAGAACTTGTGCTAGGGGCCTCGTTCACTGCCCAAACCCCTAGATATCTGACCGTACGACACAAACTTGAAAACTTGGGCTTGATGTATACAATTACATATCGAATGTAGCTGTAAAAAGCGAAAGTTAACGGTGGAAATTGGGCAGAAGGGAACGCGAAAGAGATGGTGAAGGAAGGGGGAACAAGGGAACTGGTGAGGATATCTAAAGAGTGTTCGAGAGATGACATAAGAAGTCTTGCTCATCGCACACTCACTTCAAGTCCTACCTTCCTCTCCGAACTCAGACGCCTCCGGTGAGTCACGCCCCCATTTTATTTTTTTAAAAAAAAATCATATCTTCTAACATTGAGGAATTTGAAAAGAGTGAACGATATTAAATTATGTTTGGGTTTTTGTGTGTTTTGGATTTGATTTTTTGGGGGATAATGAAGTGTATATTTGATTTTTTCTTTTTCTTTTTATGTTTGTAGAAAAATAAAATACGAAAATAAAATAAAACAAATAGAAAAGAACAGAATTACTTTTATTGTTACATCTCTTCTTCTACTTGTCGAATTACAATGAAAATGACTCACATATTTATAGAAAAACTATGGAGACAAATAAAAAGGAAATAGAAATAAATAAGATCGATACATAATATTTGATATAATATTATGTCCATTATTATTTCTAATCATATATTAAAATCAATATTTCCTTCAATCACATATTTATTTTCCTATTTCAACCATGTTTGTGTACATATTAATGTTGTTGGAGGCGCCATAAAGTGATGCAATGTTTGACTTATAGTTACATGCACATATGTATATAAGAGTAGGATCTGTGCTTCACATCATGTGAGCCGCGGATTTGTGACGCTTCATTTTACTAAACAAAAACAAATGAATAAAAAAATTGTAGAGGCTGTGGACTTCCTTCTCATGTGAGCGAGGATCAATTAACGGTCATAAAGGCAAAAGCTACGAACTTTTGTGTATGTATATTTTGTATATATAACTAATATATATATATATATATATATTATTTTTAATATATATTATATGTATATAAGTTAGTTATAATTATTTTTATTTTAATATATATTATGTATGTATATAAATTTAATTATAATTATTTTTATTTTAATATATATGTATTAATAATGATATATATATATATATTGTAGTTATGTGTATATATGTTTTATTAATTATAAATAATTTTATTATATATATATATATTTGTGTGAATTTATATATTTATATATTAATTTAAATACATGTAGATAAAATTTGGATATTTAATAATATTTTTTTTGTTGAGTCAGCAGTTTGTTTGATTTAGAAAAAATTTAAAAATATGGGTATTTATGTGGGAATTGTGAAAAGTTAAGATATTTATATGACAATTTTATAGTTCAGATATTTATTTGGAATTTTTGTAAAAGTTCGGATATTTTTATAGGATTATCCCTTTATTTTATCATTTCAATTATATATATATATATATATATATATATATATATATAAAAGGAATTCGTTTCTCACTGATTTACGGAACGCAAACAACAGGCGAACTTTGAAACTCAAAATGAGGGTTCACTAAAATTCATTAATCTGAAAATTTGTTTGTTTTGAAAACAAAACCAATCTTAAAAATGTACTCGTTTTACGTGTGCGTTTTCTATAGACCATCTCGAATTTATTACCAGAGAAATCGATACTAATAAAATATTAATAATCACGCTGAATTAAATCGTTATTCAACCCGACATGTACCCGTGATGACGTAATCCCACCGGCCCACTAGTCGCCTAGGCTGACGGGGACTTTTCCCGCCACAACCCAGGTGGAAGAATGGAAAAGAAAAAGCCCATTCCTTTTCTTTTTCTTTTCAGCAACAAAAGCCTCAATCTTTAAACCCCATAATATATATATACACACATATATATATATATATGTTGTAATCAAATTTCGTATACCTCAAGTCTAAAACTCTGAAAAGTTCATTCTTTTAGATTATTTCCTAAATTCTTGAGACTTCTTTAATCTTTATTCTTTTTGCGCATTCGTTTTCTGCAGTCATTTTGTTAAAAAGAACTTAATTTTTAAATCCTTTCTAAAAAAAATTTTTAAAAAAAAAACTCTAAAGTATATATATAGTAAGCAAAATGGAACAATTTTACAAAAAAAAAGGGGATAAAAAAATAGAACAAAAAGAGCTGTGGTGAGTTCTGGTGTCGGTTCATGTTTCGGTTACTGCGATGCACGTCGTTCTAGAGAGGAATGAATGTACGGAGTGCAGTATTAAATTAAATTGAATTTTTCATAATAAAAATATGACAGTTGAAGGGTAATCAAACGACGTTAAAACCAAGAATATGATTTAGAAAACATTTTTTTTATGCTCCCAAAACTCGTTGGTTAAATTCTGATTTAAATCAAACAGTATATTTATATCTCTCGAGAAGAAAATCTGAATAAATATATGAACACAAAACTATATGAGCTAAGGAACACATAAAATTATATATGAAAAAAAGTTTTCCATCAAGTAAATGCGGAATTTCATGGAAAATGTGACGTATAGAAGGGCACCAATAAAAAGCATTGCATGTTCGCATCAAATTCATAAGATTTTACGCCCGTGTATTAATTTTATAAAACTCGTACAACCCGTGTGCAAAAAATATCGTTTTGCACGAATTATACATAAAAGTGTCTTAAATATAATAACTGCGTTTAGAAAACGCTCTAAAACGCATAAAATCGCGATGGATATAATGAAATGAAATCCCATGAATCGAATTCTCCACAACATGTAGTTGCACGTGACTTTTGTTCTGATGCAGGACGTGGGTGGACCATTTGGGTTTTCTGCCACCTCCTGACCAATTAGAATCTGCCACATGTCAATTCAGTGAAAATGTACTGTTTTACCCTCCATAAGTCGAATCTCCTCCTCTCAAAAAAGGTGGCGCTCGTTGATTCGAAAATTCCCAAGTTGGAAAAAGACGGATATACCCTGAAAAGGCAGCGGAATCGGGACCAAAGCAAGGGCAAAATACAAAGAGAACTGTACGGAAAAAGCGGGAAATGGAAGAGCGCGTAGGTCTCACGTGCACACGTCATGATTCGAGAGGTGGGTGAAATCGGAAAAAGCAGAGAATTTTTGGCAACGAAGCGAAGCGAGTATCCATTACACGTGGAGACTCATGATCGTGCCACGTGTTAATTATTGGCCGTCGGATCATTTGAGGCATGTGCATTAGAGTGGAAAGCACGCAAAGGAGGCCTCCGAGCTGGACGGTTGAACAACCAGGACCCAGGATCGCATGACACGTGGCAGATCTTGTGGTTAGGTTTTGCTTTATTCCCTAATAACCTTGCTAATCCACAATCACTAATCGTGAGATATGTATTTGTAATAATTTGTAAAACCCATAGATAATATCTATATCTTTTAATATTTCTAATATTGGCAGTCGTAAGAAATGATAATAAAAATGTATAGGGGAAATCATGATGGGCTCTTGAACATGCTTGGAGTCATTAGCAGGTGGTAAACCACGGCATGGTTCTTCTAATCATGGATTAATATTGATTATTATGTTAATAGCATATAATTAAATAAAAATAAAAAAACGGTCCACGGCTTCTAACGATAATTATTTTATTTAATAAAATAAACAAAAGTTAAAATTTTAAAACATGTATATAAAAGGAAGACCGGTCTTTGGGGGTTAATGTGAGGGGGCGTGCTTTCCGCTTTCAAAAGAGAGAGAGGGAAAACATAAAGCAGCAACAGTCTCCATGGTCGAAGCGATGGGTAAAACGACGTTTTCCGGTGGAGTATCGCCGCCGGTGAGACATTGAAGGGACCGCATCGTCGGCTTCGGACAGAGAAGGTGATGAGTTTTGTCGCTGGTCTCCGGCTGGGAGAAACAGAGGTGAAACGGCGGCGTTTTCGGGTCTAGAGAGAGAGAGAGTTGAGAGAAGGAGAAGATGGAGATTAATGGCTGTTTGGATGAGTATGAGAAGCTTGTGTTCAGGATGAACACTCCGAGGTTTGTGCTCTTTCCAATCTCTCTGTTCTTTTCTTTCCTCCTGCGATTTTCGTTCTGCTCTTACAGAGAATCTGATGTCTCATAGATGCAATTTTCGCCTGATGTTTCTATTTAATGCAAGAAATTTCAAATATCGTATTACTATTTCCGGATTTGATGTTTGTTCTTCATGTTTCGCTTCTGTCTTCTTCCAGAATCTCGCCCAATTTCCCCTTACGATTTTAAATTTTAAAAAATGAATAAAAATTATATTTCAAACTGGACATTTGGTTTTTATAATTACAGGGTGGTGATCGACAACGGCGTCTACGCTTCTGCAACAATCGTCAAGGTTATAGCTTCCTTTCTCTCATTGGAATTCGTTCTTTATTCAAATTCGAATTTTCTGGATTATAATTGCTGGGTTCGTTCAGGTCGACAGCGCAAGGAGGCATGGCAATTTGTTGGAAGCCGTGCAGATCCTGACCGATTTGAACCTCTCCATCAAGAAAGCTTACATATCTTCGGATGGGAGATGGAACATGGATGGTAATGGACCCATCTCACCAGGGCTTATTTAAAAGAAAAACCCAACAAACATATAAAATTTCCTTGATCTGTGTCTCTATTTAACCCTCCTGCTCTTGCAGTTTTTCACGTCACTGATTTAGACGGAAAAAAGCTGAATGATCAGAGCGTTCTGAGCTTCATTGAACAGGTTGATCAGTGATTTGTAATATCATCATAATGTTCTTTCCTGTTTTGATCTTGTGTTTATCATCTTCTAATGTTTTTATCTGGGTATGGATTTCACAGTCGATCGAGATGGTATATTACGGTCAAAACATTGAAGTGAATGGTCTAACAGTCTTGGAGTTAACCGGAAGAGACCGAGTTGGATTACTGTCTGAAGTGTTTGCGGTTCTGTCTGATCTCGACTGTGACGTAGTTGATGCCAAGGTCTGGACACACAACGGAAGAATCGCGGCCATAATCTACGTAAAAGATTGTAATTCGGGTTCTCCTATTCAAGATTCGCAGAAGATTGCAAGAATCGAAGCACGTTTGAAAAACCTCTTGAAGGACGGTAACGACATCAGAAGCGCGGCGAGAACTTGCGTTTCCATGGCGGTAACTCACACGGAAAGGAGGCTTCACCAGTTGATGTTCGAGGACAGGGACTACGACAGAAAACCCGGGTTTCAGACAAAACAGGAGGACAAGACTTCCTTTGTGACGGTTCAGAATTGGGCTGAGAGAAGCTATTCCGTTGTTAATGTTCAGTGTAAAGATCGGATAAAACTTCTCTTTGATGTGGTGTGTACGTTGACAGACATGGATTATGTTGTGTTTCATGCCACCATCAACACACCTGCAGAGCAAGCATACTTGGTATGTCATGTCTCACAGTATGCAATTTTGTCGAAAAGGCCTCTCGGGTCAGATTATTTTGTGATGAAAAATGATGGGTATGATCCAAAAATCTCTCTTTTTGACTCAGGAATTCTATATTAGGCACAAGGATGGGTCACCGATCAATTCAGAAGCAGAGAGGCAACGTGTGATTCAGTGCTTGCAAGCCGCAGTTGAAAGAAGAGGATCCAAGGTATACAACGACATGAAGTTCTCGATAATATCCCGAGCCAATTCACATCTTTTTAACATTTTGATTCAGTTTCGCCGTATAATCTTTTTGCATGTCAGGGTGTGAGACTGGAGCTGAGGCATCCGGACAAGCAAGGATTACTAGCCGAGGTTACAAGAACGTTCAGGGAGAACGGTGTAAACGTGACGAGAGCAGAGATATCAACGAAAGGCGGCACTGCGACGAATATATTCTACGTGACAGATGCCAAAGGCGAAGCAGCCGGGCACAAACTGATCGAATCTGTGAGGGAGAAAATAGGGTTTGAATGCTTGAGAGTGAAGGAGGAAATGGCGACGAGATTGCATCCCAAGAAGAAGGAAGAGAAACAGCACACACTGACATCACTTGGGAGTTTGGTTTGGAGAAATCTCTTCAGCTTTGGTCTGGTGAAATCATACTCTTAGGTCCCCCAAAATTTAGGGCTTTTCAAATACGGTTATGTTTTCATGTAAATGGGTGAAATTAGGTATTTTGTTTTACTCGGAATTTGGGCACATTCCTTTGGTGTACATAGAGAGATTGGAGATTTATGGTTAGAATTTAGGTATGCTTTAGTGTATTCTTGATTTGGGGCTTTAGGGTTAGGTTGCACATAATTTCTATTGATAATTATAGATTATTGTTGGTTGACTTGTGACTTTCAAACCGTTACGTGTCCTCCCGCCGTGTGGAATACATAAATCACATATGGTAGATTGAAATATATAATTTCAAGTAATCGACTTAACTCGAGAGAAATTCGAGTCCCAAATTTTAGTTATCTATTAATCATTAATGTAAATTTTGCAATACTTGTTAGTAATTCTTTTATTTATTTATAACAATATATTGCGAAATTGTTGAGATTTTATTGTAAAATTTTCATAATATATATATATATTGTTAATTTTTGTCAAGAAAAGGTGGTAGGTAGCCCACAAATCTTTGGTAGTTGATTGATTCGGAAGAGGAACTACAAAAATTATACGTTTGGTGAAATTCTCTCTTTTGCTCAACCACTTATTTTGGTTGAGGATATATCAATAGAGATAATTAGTAGTGGCTCTCTTTTTTTATTTTGATTCAAAACAAAAATATAAAGCTAATGTTACAACCAATTGAATTTTAAATAACTTTCCTTATATTATAGTTTTGACCCATTAAAAATATATTTTGTTCTTTGAATTGAATTGAAAATAAAAAAAATATATTGTTTTATTTTTTATACCAAAACAAAAACCACCAAAACCACACTAACTAAAGATAAATAATAATTCAATTTGCTAGTTAGTTTTAAAGTATCCATCTAATCTTTAGTTTATTGTTTTTATTAAATTTTGAAAGAGATCGGATATTTTACTAATTATTATTTCATGTAGCTTATATTCCACAAATCAAATATATAAGCCCATTTTATATGCCCTAGAAATATCTTTATTATGTCTTTCTCATGTATTAGGTCTGAAATGCTTTTCATATATAAATTTGACCTATAACTCGGGATTTAATTTATAGCTTTGGATTAACTTTTTATATGTTAATAAGTTAGCAATTTTTTTATAATACCCATACAATAACTTAAAATGTCGATTATATAAATTTGACTCTTATATCAAGATTTGGTAGTATAATTTGAATTTGAAAGTTTATTTTTAAATATGTATATACAAAACTAGTTGGATTTGTCGGTTCAACAAGAAAAACGATTAAAATACACTCTTATTGGCTTAGCATCATAATTTTTAATTTAAAAAAGGTTTCAGTTAAGAATATTTGCGTTTTGAATTAACTATTAAGAGTTAGTCTACGAGACATTGACAGATTCATGTATGTACCTAGAACATGTAATTAAACATATGGTTTATTTAATTTCATTATAATTTGAATTATTCAATGCAATCCATACAAAAACCGACCAAAGTTTGTTAACCCAACTAGAGAGATTGAAAGACCTAAGGATATATAATAATCTCCACATATAGGTCTTTGGGAAAACATTATTTATTACGACAAATAATAATTATAAATTTTGCTATGGAAAGTAACAATGTTTTGGTCCAAAATAATATGTTAATTTATTTGGTTTAAGTAAAATCCAATTGGTATGAATCGCATTAATCCCACCAGCCCCACTTGGAAATCTTCTTAGGGTTTACGTTTGTGCCCGTAATGAGTTTACTTTTGATAAATTTACGAAAAGGTATATGATATCTATTATTTTTTTCACCACATTGAATATTTAATATATCAATCATGTCAAATATATATATATATATATATATATATAATAGATTACCTTAAAATCATATGTAAATTAAAAAATAATTAAGTATATGAAAATAATCTAAATATCAACCCTACAAAGCGGTTTGCATGAGAAGACGGACATTGAGTTATCAAAATTCGGTAGGTGTTTCGAAATAGAATATGAACCAGAAAAATAAATCTATTATTGATTAAAAAATTATTTTTTTAGAACGATAATTCATATTTTATTTTATTTTGTGATGAAAGTTTTGCTCTTTAATATTTTTCAGGATTTATTATTATTTAATTTGTGACCATGGGAAGGGTATTAAAGTTGGAAATCTTGTCGGTGTGATTTATTAGTAAAGGCTGTATTCGTGTGTGTGTATATATAAAATGCTTAAAATTTAAATCTTTAGGATTTACAATGATAAGATAGGCAAGCTAATCGTGGTTTGAAGAGTTATTAAACATTTTTATAAAGCAGGAAAATATATCTTTTTTTTGGCAATTAATTCATAAAAACTTCACGACTAAACATATCCAATGCAAAAGATATAAGATTGATTTAGAGATAAAATAATACATAAAAACATTATTTTTTTAGTAAAAAAAATCAATCGGTTGTCATCATATATATATATATATATATATGTGTGTGTGTGTGTGTGTGTGTGTGTGTGTGTGTGTGTGTGTTATTAGGGTGTTTATCCATTTGCCATTCGAACGATATTAAATTCGGACACATTGGGTGCACACAATTAAAAAAATATTTATCGTGGAACTAAATGTCTGTATTTTTTTAATCAATGTAACCACAAAAAGATTGTTATAAACCGAAATAAACAAATAAGCGCTTCCAATGTCCACGCTAATGTAATATCATATCATGTCATGGCCCATGCGTCACCTTCTCAATGTCATTTCTTATTTGCTAAATTGTTTATTTTAAAAAAAATTCTGCATTAACTCACACGTGTATCTATGCATATATATTGTATACGTCATGTATAAACACATACTATATGCTGTGCACATCCTGATCCACATATATGTATAGTATACGCGCTACCAAGATTAAATTCAAATATACAAAACACCTATTTTTATTTTATATATGATAAAATATTAGTTTTAGGATTTAATTTAATACACTGCAAGTGGCAAGCCCAATAAATAATATAAATATAATCGACGGAAAGAAGCTTCTTCCGACAATGGAGATCATACCGACCCAGTCTAAGCCCATTGGGATATGAATTCAAAAACAAAATTGGGCTTTCCAAGAGCCCATTTATGGCCCATTATTTAATCCAAATAGGCCCATAAACTGTTTTCTGTCTTTTAAAGAACTGTTCTTTCAAGCACAATGACTGAAACCTTAGAAGTGAGAATGCCAAAGTGTCGAACTCATGAGTTTTGGTCGGAGGGAAAGGGGCTTTGAGAAGCAGACAGAATACAACAAGTGATGAAGCAACTGACTGACTAACCGAGACCGGCGGTTTCATCTCGGCGAGGAGCATTATCCTTTATAGTCGGCGGCCTGAAAATCTTGTCGATAAGTCCATATTCCATAGCTTCTTCGGCATTAAACCTTTTCACGCGGCTCAAATCTTTGTATATCTGTTTCAATATGCATTCATTCACAAGTTTAGAGGCCGATTTTCCAGTTTAAACTGTAAAGAAAGACTTAACCTTTTCGACAGGCTGCCCGGTATTGTTGGCCAGTTCCCTGAAGAGGTAATCTCTGATCCTTAGAAGCTCGTTTGCTTCGTTACGGACATCGTCAGCCTGTATCGAGTTTTCATTTGTTTGTGATATGATCAATGAAATGTGAGATATTGGATTCGAAAAACAACTCAAGAGGTTACTTCTTCTAAAGCTAAAGTGATTCTTACCCGACCTCGGGCTGCCCCTGCTGGTGATTCCAGAGCAATTCTTGATAGTGGCATCGCAAACCGATAACCCTTTTACACAGGTGGGTGAAAGTACCAAAATTATCACTAAAAAATCGCACCCGAGAAAAAAAAAAGTTCACCTTTTCAATAGTTTAACCCACAACCTTGGAACATGTCAAGCACAAAGAATAAATACCAAAAAGATAACAGAATCATCCAAGATATCAGTCATAGCCGTACAAAAGGAGAACTCGATCAAGTGATTACCTTTTCTCCGGCTGCAAGAAGAAACCCCGCAAGGTTATAGGCAAGACCGACACAGTGTGTCCCAATCGGACTCTTCAAACTCTTCATCGTATCATAAATGGCCAGACTTGGAGTAAGCTGCAAAAAAAAAAAGTTTTCGACATTAGCTTCAAACCGGGAAAATGTCGAGGAAAAAGAACAAGATATAAGAGGGCCAGGAAAAGCTCACATCACCGCCTGGACCATTTAGGTACATATACATCCTCCTAGAGTCATCAAGTGTGTCAAGGTATAACATGGTTGCTAATATTTGGTTGCTAAACTCTTCGGTAATATCTTGTCCAATAAAGATAACACGCTCTCGGTACTGCATTGAAAAGATTCAAGTTACTTTTCCAAAACTCCAAATAGAGTGTATTGACGGGATTATATCAAAGTACAAATACGTACAAGGGCATTCCAAATATCGACCCAATGCCAGGTGCCCTCATCGCGGTTTCTGTAGTATACTTTTGGTGTGCCGATAGGCATCATTCTTACCGGGGACCTTGTTGGTCTCCCTGTCCTAAGATAGCACAAACATGAACATAAGAAACCCTTTTAAGGCAAAAAACTCGGTGTCCATAAGGAAGGGCAAAACTAATCTAACATATCCCTAAACCACCACATTTGCAGGCCAAGAACGTGACCAAGCAGACAGTTTTCTGCAAACAATCTAAATCTAATTCATTATCAACAATTTTCCATCTCTATTGCTCAGTTCTCTGGTTAATAATTCACTGTGAGACTAACATTACGAATCAAATGAGTATACTAAACAAACTAAAACCCAGATTCCAGCACCAAAAAAACCCTAATCTTAGACTCAATTGAGCAAACGAGTGAGACCTCTCCCTGAATCTTTTGCAAAGACGAAGAAGGAATATTGCATTACCCGCACTGCAAACTCTTGTGAACTCTTCCGAAGAACTCTGCAGTCAAATTCGGATTCCCACTTGGCAAAAAATCTTATAGAATTCCGGAAACAACAACACGAATCAGTTCCCCACATCGAATGGATGAGAAAGATATAAACTTTATCGAACAGAGAAAGAGAGACGAAACGAAAGCTCAAAGGAACGAACTTGGAGACTGGGGCTTCAACCCAGAGTAACGCTTGATGCTACAGCTGCAAAACGGTGAAAACCCATCAAGGGGTTTCCTCTTATCAATTCGAAAACCGATGAATTTACATACAACAATCGATATACAGGTATAATACAAATGTATACGATAACATAATCACTGTGGAAACAAATACAGAAAAGTACCATAGAGAGGGCTGGTGAACAGATGTATTGAGGGGGACCGCCATGGCCGTCGAGCTTCGAGAGGAAGAAGGAATCTGATTTTTTATTTTTTGAAACGGAACTACTTTAAAGATTGGGTTTTTGTCGAAGAAGATTAGATCAGATGGCCCGAAACTCCTCTTCCTTTTATTTAAGGCCTTCAGGAATCTTTGCCATTGGATCAATTGATATTTGACATTGTTTATGAATTGGACGGCTCAGATTCAATCTCCTCTTGTGCTTTGAAAAACCCACGGTCCCAAACAACCCGACATAACCGAATAAAACCGGTATAAGCCAACCCGGTTATGAAGAGAACCGGACACCGGTTCAAGAACTGAAGGATGAGTATATTTCCAGGCTTCCAGCAACAATCCTTCATATTTCAATGGGGTTTAAGTTAATCTGGACCCAAAACAACTAAACAGACAAACAATTGGGACAAGTTACAGAGGTTTATCTCAATGTTTCACCACAATGATCTTAACCTCCTAAAAGTTTAAATCTGACCCAGAAGTTACAGATCTCTTCTGGCACTGATTACGCAAACATCGGTTACAACATTTGCGAAAACCGAATCATTTTTACCACCATGGCAGTGTATCTTTGAGGGCAGCATCAGTTAACCAGAGAGGATAAAACCCGGGAAGGTTAAACCGTGTCGCCTTAGTCGTCATAATCATCCAGGGCCGAGTATATCATCCTACAAAAAAAGTAGTAAACTGAATTTCAGCATGTGATCAAGAAAAAAGTTCGGCTAGAGAGATTGTTTTGAAGGGTCGGAACCATTTTTTACCAAAATATGGTGAGGAATAGGATGAGGATTATGTAACCGAGTTTGAACAGCCGTTTCTTCTTTTCCCGGTTAAGCAAGTTGAAGATCTCGGTCACGTCTATCAAGTGCTGTCCTTTTGAGTAACTGGCATCAAAACACAAAAACAAGGGGAAAAAAGGGTTCAGAGACATAGAGAGACAATAACATCACATGTTTGGAACAAAGACGATGAGATGATCGATATAACTCACAGTTGGTAATCGTAGAAGAGATAGGGTAGACAAAAGAGGGTCATTAACCAGTGTCCGGTCACGAGGTAGTAGAAGCATAGAGTGCCTTGAAGAATGAATTCCGGTAAAACCACAAAGTTTATTCTCGAGGCAGAGTCGTAAGGGTTGATGTAATCAAACTCGAGATCAGCTAAGCAAACAAGCTGCCAAGAAAATTATTTCCCATATATAGTTAGTTAAAACGTGACGGGAATCTGCAACTTCGGTAGAGAACATGAAGTAAATGCCTCTTTGACGGATCTGTCTCCTAAAACCGTACTCTTTGAGCCAAAACTTCATCTCATTCTGACCAGTATCGCCGTGATAAGGAACCAATCAATAATGACTTTCAGTTCCACATATCACAATCAGAAACAAACCAATAAAAACAGACCTATGAATATGAATTCAGAAAAAAAATAAAAAATCTTGTTAATGATTCTAATCCCCTAACAAACCTTAATAAGGAATCAACTGCCTACTACTTAGTTGAACTCCATGTGTCTGATCAATCTGAAACTCTGTCGTGCTCTTTCTGTGTGCGTGCGTATACACGATAGGACCATGTATCTAGCAAGTGAACTCTCAAGAATTATACGCACCTCAATCCAAAACCAGAAGAAACATGAAGGTGCCAACTAATTTTCTTACCAAACTAGTATGAGAACATGACACTGTTTAAGGAACTAACAGATTCGTAAACGTTATACTAAACCCATGAAACTGTGTAAGAATCAAACTCATGGGCTCAAAATTTGTTGCCATTTGAGTCTCAGAGTTATTCCATTGATTCATCACACTCCAAAGAACTCAATGCTTAAACCGTTTCTTACAAAAACAACTATAAGTGCGAAGAATGGAAAACCCGCTTCTCATTTCAATCAGAAATTACAATCTAAGAAAGGGGTTCCGACGACATTGTTCATTCGCCGACCAGCCTAGATTACTGCAGACCACGAACAAGGTGCTTACTCCAGAAGAGATGGAGGAAACCGGGTTATCCAAACAAGCAAATTCGATGAAGTTTACACATTTTTAGGGTTTCGGTCGGAGTGAGAATCGGATCGAACCTGGTAAACGATGATTCCGACAAGGGCGATGAGGAAGAAGAAGGAAATCAGCCATGTCCAGACATCTCCCATGCTCTTCCTGACGCTCAGGAAATTACCTCGGATCTATCAGATTCTTTTCTCTCCGCCGAATCGGTTTCTTCGTCCGTCAAGCTCCTCTAGGAACTAACATGAAAACTTAGAGAGAGAGAGAGAGAGAGAGAGAGAGAGAGAGAGAGAGAGACCACAGAGAGGGTAGGGTTCGCGGTCGGATTCTTGAAGTGTTCAGTTCGGCTTCCATCATGTTTCAGATTCTGATCGGAGAGCTGTCGTAAAAGCGCGAGCCTTTCGGGTTTTCCATTTGACACGTGTCCCGGTTTTGAGTAAATCTCTTTCCTGGTTTAATAAACCGAATTTCATCCTCCATAACCCGGATTAAAAAAATGATGCCATTAATCTTTACGTATTTTTTTTAATCTTTACGTATTATTTAATTGCTTATCCCTTGTCTATATGCCCCATAACCCGGATTAAAAAAAAATTACGAGTGTATTACAAATTATACTAACCGATTAAAACATTCACATTTCATATGCATTATGTACGAACTGATGCATTGTATTGTTTCAAAATCTCCACTTATTAAATAAATTGAGCTCCAAATTTGTTTTATTATATTGGCTTTGATATATACATATATATATATATACATATATATCACGCATGATCGTGAAAATCTTTTTAATACTCAAGTGAAATTTTTTTCACACAATATAATGGGCTGGACTATAAAATATATATCATGGCCCATATAATGGATAACAAATAGAACTATGTGCCGACAATGAAGCCCAAATACATATCTATGGAAAAATATATATATATATATATATATAAAAAGACATTTTGTGTTTATTTCCCCCAAAATGTAGGACCCACAATTCCAATCATGTGATCGATAAAAAAAAGCCAGCAGCTTTCCTCGTGTTCCATATCAATTGGTTCATCCTTTTTCATTACAACGTAAATAAAATAAAATAAACATGACAAGGCATCAATATAATATGTTACATTTCTGCACGTATACGGTTGATGATACCGTACACGTGGCACTAATCATAGCGGTAATCAAGGGCCAATAACACGTGTTATTTAACAAATTTTAAATAAAACAATAATACAGGAATAGCTGGAAATTACAAGGAACAGATGTAGTTACTACTAGTTACAGTGTTTATGTTCTGCCGTATAAATAATCAGAGTTAATAATATTATTATTATTATTCCCATTATTATTATTATTATTAAAATAATTTCTTAGATTATTGGTTCATTTTACTTGTAAATTTAAAAAGTGGTATTTTACTTTTTTTATTTTATATTTTTGGTATTGAGCTGCTCTAAACCCAATGTAGTGGAGTGGTTGACACAGGAAACTCTAATACAAGCTTGTAATTGAAGCAATTGGCACCATAATTATCAATTTAAATATGATAAAAGAGCATAATTTTTTTGGCTATCTAATCATTAATCTTACAACTTCTTTTATTAAAAATCTAGTCTAGTTTATTTCATCCTTGTATAATCCAAAATATGCATAATTGTACATGCTCAAAATTGTTACGAGATAAATAGCGACTTTTTAATAAAATTGTATCAATATATTTTCTATAATTATTATTGTTATTGCACATTCAATTGTAAATTTAAAATTGTCTCATGAGAAACTTTTTATGTGCCAATATAACTAACCATACCCTATGATGGGACTCTTGACTATGTAATTCATTCAGACCAACAACAATATATTTTAATATTTATTTTATAAAACGGTACCTCTAGATTTTTTTATAGGTATTCACTAATATCATTTAGACCTAAATAATTTCTAATTAATGTTAGAAGATTAATATATAAATCCGTGACAGATTTAACTTTCATATCGATTTGAATAAATGATGCATGTTATAAATATGTGTGTATGGCTTGACATGGATATCATGAGCAATTTATTAAAAGAAAAGTTTTAAGTAGAAAGAACAATAATTGACACGTGTGGGGGACCAATAGAAAAAAAAACAAGAATTCTCACACGTGAGACAATTCCTTTTTTTTTTTTTCTCCTTTATTTCACAGTGAAGACAACTCCAATCCATCTATGATACATAAATACATACATACATATATATAGCCACGGATCTAAAAAATTTACAAGTGGGGACAATAGTAAGGATAGATTTACTTTTATTATGGTGGTATTTAACAATTTTAATTAAAATTTTATAAATTTCATTAAAAGAATTAAACATTTTTAATTAAAAAGTGGGGACAAGTGATCCCATTCCCTTGTAAATGGATCCGCCCATGCATACATACATACACACATAGGTTCGATTTATATGTATTATACGAGAAAATTAAAACGTAAAAATACGTTTAGGTTTAAGAGTTATTATATCAAAAATACTTTTAATTTGTTATTTCTACTTCAAGACCTACTTTTGTAACCATGTGACCAATATGACCGAAATATAGTGTGGTCACATTTTGATTTTATCGATTATAACGTTAAATTTATGGTGATCACACAAATTCATTATGTTCATACCTTGTATATTTTACTAATCATTTGATTAAAACATCATAAATTTAATATACGAACAATGGGATCAATATATGACCACACTATATTTCGGTTACATTGGTCACATGGTCACAAGGGTAGGTCTTGAAGTAGAAATAACAAATTAAAAGTATTTTTGATATAATGCTCCGGTTTAAGGCGGGGATAATTATTTTGGTCAATGTCATTAATAATATTTTTAGATTTGTGTACCGTATAAAAACCCACGGGCCCCGATTTGGCTTTCTCAACCCATTTCTTGGTTTGTGGTTTTAGACAGATCGTATCTAACAATGCAACGTCATTGTGTTAACGATATAATATATATATATATATATATATATATATATTAAACATAAGCATATGATCCAAATTGATCGGTTATCGAGTTGACAAATGCATTTGCCCAGCGAATTAACACTTAGGGTTTAGTAGAAGATTTGTTGGTTACTCCGTCTCACGAATTTGACGTTTTAGCTTTTTTACATTTTTTTTAAAACAAAAAAAATCATATATACCCTTTTATTAATACAAAAAATGATGTTATCGTTAATAATCTATTGGAATTTGATAATTTTTTATTAAAAATAAAATTAGTAATTATTTTAAAATTTTATCTAGAAAACCTAAAATAACTACCGTTTAATAACACACAAAATTGTCTAAAACATAAATATTATGAAATGGACGAAAGAGAATTCGGCTGTGATTATACGTTTAGTGGAAATAACTAAACAAAACTAATATATTATTTAATATACAACTATCATATTCAGTGAACTCTCATGTATCCAGATAGAAATTTTTTAAATATCTGATACAAATAATATGATGAAAAATATATGAAATGAGTTTGATTTTATTGAAATTGATACACAACATAATATTTTTTTTTTACTGATTTTATATGAATTAATATAAATAATTGAGATTAAATTCAGTTATACCGGAATTCTGAGTGCTATTCATTTTGATCTAATTTCCATCATCACAAACCACATCTCACGAACATGAACCATACAACCAAATGTGAATAAGTCTGTGATACAAATTAAAAGTTATATTCAACGATTTAATTATTTCGAATATGTAACAATTACATGCATGAATCATTTTCTGATACCTTACACGTATTCGCATTGGTCTTAAGATAAGATATAAATATTCGACATTAATGAGACAAGATGCACACTACACATTCGTTTATTGAATCTTTTTGTATATTCTATTAATGTAGTTATTAATTTCCATTGTTATCTAATATAAAAAAGTTCTGAACTTTTATATATCTTGATCAACTAGTCTAGGCACATTTGATATACTTATATAATTAAATCTAATATTATATCAGAGTTATGCCCGAATTAATATGCAAATCATATAAAAATGGAATTAATAATTGTCCCTACATTACACTGTATTTAATTTGGCCAGGATTGTATATTATTAATTCCGTACATGTAGGGTAGATTTGACTAATAAAATGTTTTCAGAAATAATTGTAACCAAACTATAATGTAAAGTTACTGACAGAATTAAACTCTTGATTACAAATATTTAGAGTTTTTTCTTCGTGGGTTTAGCAAAAATGTGTTGCATTAGAGAGACAGAATATGTCCGAGGAACAAATAGACTAATTGTCAAATATCCTTGTAAACATTTATATTCCCCGAAAATGACAAGTTCACAAAATAAAATTATATACACACACACTTTATAGTTTATATTCAATACACACATGCAGTCATAGTGTGCTGAATTTGTTTATTGGTAATTTTTCTATCATAGTAATTTAAGAATTACATCTTATCTTATAAATTATAAAAGCTAGGTAACTCTTTTAAATTACGATCTACCTTTTTTTTATATTACAAAAATAATCCAAACTCTTTCCATTGTTTTTTTGTCTAAAGTTTTTTTTGTATGTAATTGTAAAGATAGTTCCATAAGACTAATTAATTTTAATTAGCAAAAATAATTTTAATTCATATGACCCAATTTGTAACAACCTATATTACATGATACATGAGGGAGATTATATGTACTATCCAATATATCTACTTATTTGGACCATCCACCTTTTTCAAAAGAATTGGGCTACTGTAAAATAATAAAAAAGGTTTGAATTTGCATGTAAATAATAATAATAATAAAAAATGAATTTAAATTTACAGCAGATATGGATCATATTCATAAGCATGCATACATCAGAAGGTGGGAGACAGTTGTGACATGTGGTTATTGACATTTAGACATTGACCAATTAAATCTTCACTCACCACTTGAATACTTTAATTATTGTATTGTTTTTGTATTTTTCCATTCTTTTTTAGTTTTAAAAAGCGATCATTACCATTTATCATTAATTCATTGCCCCTTAATTTTTTTTTTTCATTTAGGAAAAAGTACATAAGAGAAAATAGGGAAGATCGATGGCATAATTGTAGATATCAAAGGTTTCATAAATAATTCAAGATGGAAACAGCCCATATACTCCAAATAATATATAATATTTATCTTTTGTAAATAATGTTTGATGGTATTGATTATTTTTTTTATAGAGAAACTTGACATTTAAGTTTAAAAGACGGGATTTCTATATAAATTTTAATAAATCATGTAAACCTATATTTGTAATAAATTCCAAATTTTGCATGGTAGTGAACGTAACAAAATTAGACAATCAATTTAAACGATATCACAACGATGTAACTTTTATAAAAAAAAAGTTTATTTAAATAAATTCTATCCAATCCAATTCATAGAACACATTACATACTTAGCGGATTTGATTCCCATCCAAATTACCATGATATAATTTCATTTGTGTGGACCTATTTACATAGTGAATAATGAAAATCTATCTATAACCATGTGAATAAAGTATATTCGTGAAAAGTTTGTAATATAATTTTAGTAGTAAAGTTTGGGCGGTGTGAATTATTTAAAAATATTTAGAATATGTTGTTACTATTTCGATCGTTTAACTGATCCAATATAATTTAAATGATCAATTATAAATTAGATGAAAATAGTTTAAATGTTAAAGAAATTGCATGCACATCCGATGGTGTATTTTCATGATTTAATTGCTACCTACCATGAGCTTCACGATAAAATCACCCAAACAATGAATCAATTTTTTTTAAAAAAAAATAAAGGTATCTAAATAAAACCCACAAATTAAACAAGAAAGTAGAAACCGGTAAAAGTATAAAAACAAGATAAATATTTTTTTAACCCTTATATTGAATTTTGGGAAACAATAAATATTTTATGAAAGGGGTTGTCCTTTTGGTCAACACAACACACTCTCTCTCTATATTGAAAGAAAATTATATACCAAGGTTGCCCTTTTACGCCCACATTCTGAATATATCCCACATAGACAACATGTCACAAATGGAAACACCACTCACCAAAATTGTTATATATAATAATGAGGATAATAATAAATCAGAAATTTTATATTGGATTCTTGAAGATCCAAAATCCATACACAAGCACATTATAAAAAAAAATGCAGGTCAGATTTAATAGCTTGTTATAATAGTTCACAAATGCATTGCATATAAATGTAGTAATAATATCTACTCAAGATACTTTGCTTATGCCATGAATAATTCTGAATTGTGTTATTATTTCCGGCATGTAATAATTGTATGGGTTAGTTAACAATTCGAATTATAAGATACCAAACACATAGAATGGTTGATACTATATAATAATGATAAATATTAAACAATATCCATAAAAGAAAAATCTAAAGGCAATTAAGGGAGTGATCAGTGAGGAAACAGACGAAGACCTCTTCCACACAAGAAGAACCCAACAAATCACTTAGAGAGAGAGAGAGAGAGAGAGAGAGAGAGAGAGAGAGGAAAATTATAAAAGCAGGAGACATGAAAAGGCAAATTTAATAAAGAGGGAAAAAAAATTAAATCAATTAAAAAAAAGGAGAGGAGAGAGAATAAAAAGGGGAAAGCCTCATAGAGCGCGTGAGGGAGACGCACCAATGGGAAGGAGGCGAGAGAGTGTATCGGCCAATGCCATGTGTCTATTCTCGTACGACATTGGACTGTGGTCTCGCGTTGTTCCCATCAAACGCTTGGGTCCGGCGCGTGTGTTTTACCTTCCCGGACTCTGTCTCCCTCTTATTTCTTCTCTTTTCGCAACCCTCTCTCTCTCCTCGCTCTCTCTGCTGTCTCTTTCTTCCTTTGAAATCTCTCAGACAGATTAAACACAAACCGATCAGCAAGAAGGGGAAATTTTCCCTGGGGAAAGAAAGGAGAGTGAGAGAGTGTTGTGATCTCCATGCGGGGTCGCCGGAGTGACGAGAATCTCCGGACGCCGGCGGATTTCCCCGGCTGAGTATGAATCTCTTTTTAGGAGGAGCAATCACAAGAACAGCCTGTGCTTAAACCCTTGTAAAAAGCGCAGAAAAAGTTCGGATTTTTCTCATTGCGAGAAGAAAAAGTTTGGAATTTTGGATCATTTGGCTCTCCTGCAATGGCGAGTACGAACACTGCAGCGGCGACTCCACCGCCGTCGCAGCAGCAGCAACCGGCTCCTCCGGCGGCGTCTGCGGGGTTGTCGGCGGATGAGTTGACGGCGAAAGCGCTGCAGAAGAGGTACGAAGGTCTGATGACGGTGAGGACAAAGGCAGTGAAGGGAAAAGGCGCGTGGTATTGGACGCACCTCGAGCCAATCCTCGTCCACAACACCGACACCGGACTGCCGAAGGCGGTGAAGCTCCGGTGCTCCTTATGCGACGCCGTTTTCTCCGCCTCGAATCCTTCTCGCACCGCCTCCGAGCACCTCAAGCGAGGCACCTGTCCCAACTTCAACAACTCCTTAGTCAAACCCATCTCCTCCATCTCCCCTTCTTCCTCCTCAGCCGCCGCTCTCGCTCCTCCGCCGCATCATTACCACCACCACCACCACCACGGAGGAGGAGGGCGGAACCGGAAACGCAGCTCCTCAGCCGTCACCACCGCCTTGGCCTCGCCGATGCCTCCTTCAAGTGGGGGGTCTTACCACGTGACGCCGATCACCGTCGTCGACCCGTCGCGTTACTGCGGCGGAGAGTTTCAGTACTCGGCGTCTCCGGTGGGTTTGCTGACGCAGCAGCCGCATTTGATGCTCTCCGGCGGGAAAGACGATTTGGGTCCTTTAGCGATGTTGGAAGACAGCGTGAAGAAGCTCAAGAGTCCTAAGACGTCACACACTCCGTCTCTCAGCAAGTCGCAGATAGAATCAGCCTTAGATTCTTTAGCTGATTGGGTCTTCGAATCTTGCAGCTCGGTTTCTCTGTCGGCTCTCGAGCATCCCAAGTTCAGATCTTTTCTGACTCAAGTCGGTTTACCAGTCATCTCCAGGAGAGATTTCGCCACAAGCAGATTGGACGTCAAGTACGAGGAATCTAAGGCTGAAGCAGAAACCAGGATCCGAGACGCCATGTTCTTCCAAATCTCCTCCGGCGGATGGAAGTTCGTCAACTTCGGCGAGAATCTGGTGAATTTGATCGTGAGTTTGCCCAATGGGACGAGTTTGTACAGAAGAGCAGTGTTCGTGAATGGCTCTGTGCCGTCCAACTACGCCGAGGAGCTCTTGTGGGAGACGGTGAAGGGCACTTGTGGAAATTCACCGCACAGGTGTGTCGGGATAGTTTCGGACAGGTTTAAGGCTAAAGCACTCAAAAATCTTGAGAATCAACATCAATGGATGGTGAATCTCTCTTGTCAGTTCCAAGGGTTTAACAGTTTGATCAAAGATTTCAGCAAGGAGCTTCCTTTGTTCAAATCGGTCTCACAAAACTGCCTCAGACTCGTCGGCTTCATCAACAACACGGCTCAAATCCGAAACACCCTTTGTAAGTATCAGTTGCAAGAACATGGTGAATCTAGAATGCTTCCGGTCCCTTTGCATTGTTATTATTACGACGAACGGAACAGCTCTAGTTTGGTCGAGCCATTGCATAGTCTTCTGGAGGATGTGTTGAGTTCAGCTAGGGCAATTCAGTTGGTAATGCATGATGATACTTGTAAGTTTGTGTCAATGGAGGATCCTATGACTAGGGAGCTCAGGGACATGGTCGGAGACGTAGGGTTTTGGAATGAGGTCGAGGCTGTTCACTCGCTTGTGAAACTTGTCAAAGAAATGGCTCGGAGAATAGAGGAGGAAAGGCCACTGGTAGGGCAATGCCTCCCGCTTTGGGATGAACTAAGATCAAAGATAAAGGATTGGTGTTCAAAGTTCAATGTAGCAGAAGGGCATGTCGAGAAACTGGTGGAGAGAAGATTCAAGAAGAATTACCACCCGGCTTGGGCTGCGGCATTCATACTCGACCCTCTTTACTTGATAAGGGACAGCAGTGGGAAATATCTTCCTCCATTCAAATGCTTGACACCCGAACAAGAGAAAGATGTGGATAAGTTGATAACGAGGCTTGTGTCCAGAGAGGAAGCACATGTAGCTCTAATGGAATTAATGAAATGGAGAACCGAAGGGCTTGATCCCGTTTATGCAAGGGCGGTCCAAATGAAGGAGCAAGACCCGGTTACAGGAAAGATGAGAATAGCAAACCAACAAAGCAGTAGACTTGTATGGGAAACACATCTAAGTGAGTTCAGGTCATTGGGAAAAGTTGCAGTCAGGCTCCTTTTCCTCCATGCCACTTCCTGTGGGTTCAAATGTAACTCCTCTCTCCTGAGATGGGTTAATTCTCACGGGCGGTCACCGGCAGCCATTGATAGAGCTCAAAAGCTGGTTTTTGTATCAGCAAATGCGAGATTCAAGAGGAGGGATTTCTCAAACGAGGAGGAGAGGGATGCAGAGCTATTCGCCATGGCGAATGGCGAGGATGATGTGCTAAATGAGGTTCTTGTCGATACATCCTCAGTGTGACATTTTTTGTTTTTTGGATTAGTTTCTCTCCGGCTTAACCTTAGTGTTTTCACTTAGAACTTGCATTTTGTAGGATTGTTTGGATTCTTTTTCTTTCTTTCTTTCTTTCTTACTACCTATTATCATATTATTCAATTTGTACTTGCCTCCTTTAGGAGGTGAGGAAGCGAGGGCATATCTTTCAATATGTGATTGAGTATTTGTATTTCTTCGCCAATATCGATCACAGTTTGAGGCGATTTCGCCTGTCTTTCTCGCCGGTTTGGATTCGTGGAAAAGATAGAAGAAAGATTCAATCTTTCTTGTTTGTAGAGAGGCTCGGAATTATCCCTTGGACTGGCCATTTGTTACAGAAACTGCAGAGAGATTGTAAAACTCTTCTTCTCTATTTTTGCTTGTATTCAAGAATCATTTGTTACAGAAACGGGTTTCTCTCCTGTCTTAATCTTCGAGCTCCGATCCGAGCCAGAGTTGGAACCTCCAATGGCATCAAAAGATCATCCTCTCTAATGGCATGTGGTAATCCATACATGGCTTGCAGCATCTGTTTTTTTCATTTCTATGGGTTCCATTTCATGATAATGTCTGTTGATGCAGGGAAAGATGGAGAAACTTTTATGATCCAGACAGGGACCTTGAGTTGCGGAAGAAGAAGAAGCCGGTTTTGGTTTCACTTTCACTTCAACCATGATTATGATTATCAATCTATCATCAATCAATCCGGGTATTTTTTTTTTCTTCGATCTTGTTCCTTTTTTTTTCTCGAGAAAATGTGGATCCCCACCATGAAAGGAGAAAAAAAGTGGGGGAGAGGTTCTTGCATCAAAATCATGGCTGTCTTTTGTGTTTTCTTGGATGGTTTTACTTGCTTCTCTATTAAAAAAAAGATGAAAATCAACAGATGATGCTGACATAAACAGATCAGACAGCTTTGGTATCTTCAGCTTCAAGCTCCAAACCCTAAACCCTAAATCATCGTTTGGATTTTATATCGTTGGTCGAATTTCTTTGTTCAAGTTGTGGTAGAGAAAGGTTTCATTGGGACAATTGGAGAAGATCCTTGTTGAAGTCTTGTAAAGTTCTTAACTTTGTGTTTTGAGAAGTTATATCTTCTTGTTTTTGTTTTTGTTTTTTTTTTTTTGCACCCATGATTTGGTACTCTAGTGAATGGTAAAAAAAGGTTAAATCTTTCATTTGCCCACATCTTTTGTACTTGTAAAATTCTGAAAAAACAGATCTTTTTTTGATGCGCCAATGGGTTATATAAATGGTAGAAAAGTCAATGAATACATGGTACAAAAAGCTAAATTGGTCTCTTGCAATTTGCAAGCTCCATAATCATGCCTTTATCAACAGTACAAAGAAAACTTTGAGAATTTTTTGTGGTAAGATTTCACGAATGGGCTGACCAAACAGCTGAAGTGAGATTACCCACACACACATGTGTGTGTGTGTGTGTATATATATATACGTCGTATTTGAAATCTTTAAACCAATAATTGTCCATTCATCATATGGAAGCTAAGTAAAAGAGTGATGGATCATTAATTTTATGTTGCAAATGTAATGTTTGGTTATTGATTGAAGAAAATAGGTTTTGAGTACTTCAAATGATGCCTCCATGAATCATTTTGTTTATTATTATTATTATTATTATTTTGTATGGGGGTTCATTTTAACTTAGCCAAAAGAAGGGGTAAAACCCAAAAAGTATAAACCAATAATTATACCCCACAAACAGAAAATTTAAATTTAAAAAAAAAAGAAAAGGAAATACACTTTTTTTCCTTTGAACTTTCTACTTGATGGGCATTAGATTCACTCACCCACCTCCATTGAAGTTTTATTATCATATGGAAATTAAAATTGAAACTTAAAAATAGATTTATCAAAATCAATTGGCTTTTTCACCTTGTGTCATTTTAGAAAATACAGTAACATTTACTTTTTATTCTCCAAGGGAGAGAATGCATGAGTTTACAGATTTGAAGACAAAATCTTAAGATTCTATCAAGTTGTTATCATTTTTATTAAAAAAAATAAAATTAGAACACTCTCTTCAAATTAGGAATTGGAGCTTTTTGCTCTCATAATTACTCTACCTATTTTGTAAATCCAAGGCATAAAAATCAGCAAAAAAATAAAAAACAAAAACAAAAGCAAAATAAATGCACTCACATTGACATCCGTATACATATATATAATTACAACCTCAAAGAAGGTGTTGTAAATTATTGATTTTGTATTTTGGTGGCGAGACATAATTTGCTGTCGGCAATGCTGACTTCTCACCAAATGTGTCTCTAATTTATTTTTTATGGTGTTTATTTAGTTTTTTTTTTTGCGTTAAATGGTTAAAAAGTTGAAATAAAGAAATAATTATAATGATTTGGTAGAGGACACTCCCACTTTTCTTTAATACACAGAGAATCTCGTCCTCTCCCAATGCTTCCTCATCATTATACCTTCATACATTAAATAATTGTTTTTATTTAACATTCTGAACATTTATATATAATTTTGTTTAATTAGTGTATCTATAGAAGAAAATTTATTTGTTTAATAGTTTTTTATAATTTTATTTTTCATATGTCAGGGAAGACGAATTATTTAGGCATAATTTCTCTATAATACAACTACTTGCTTGGTTTAAAATGGGTTAAAAGTGTTAAAAAAAGACGAGAGAAATACATTTTAAGCCAAATAAAAGTCAGCAATGCTGAGACGATATGATCTTGCCACGTGTCGTTATCAACGGCTCTGACATCATTGCTCCTCGTGCCTAGAGAAATTAGTCACCCATCAGAGCCATTCGATTTAGAAAATCACGACCGTTTAAATCCTGCTCTTCTCGACACGTGTCATTAGACCATTATGCAATGTACCGAAAGCTCGTTACTCATGGTGCACCTGATAATATCTCCTCGGGGCACAGAAATTGCCACTGATACGACGTCGTTAGACTGACAAAGTATTTTGTCTTTTCCTCGTGTCTTCTGGCACGTGCGGTCAAACTACCTCGTTTGACTGGAATCTTCTTGGTAAATCGCCGGTATTAATGACGCGATAGTTTCCCGGAGTGACGTCATCAGAGAATCTCGTTCGAGAAACATATAATAAAATCGGCGAATGCATGCCAAGTCATGGCCAAGTAGACGTATAGATTCACATACTACGTTTTCGGCGTTAATGAGAATTTCAATATTCAACATCTGTCATGCCATTGCCATACACTCCTACTTATAACTAATATAAATAAGAAAATCATATATGGTGTATATATTGATTACTCACGTGCATGCCACGTGAGGGAGGATCACTTGCAATTTTTTTTTTGGTAACATATTTCAACTAAACTAGTTGTAAAACTTGACATACCGAATGATAGCCACACACTGAAGTGACGTATAATAAATAGCCTCAAAATAATCATTACAATTAATTGTTATAGCTTTTTTTGATAAAATCAACTAATTGTTATAGTTACAATACTATGATTGAGGACATATCAGCAAAATGAAACTAGGTTAATTGATTTTATGATGCCATGTATATATATATATATATAATGATTCCGGAAAGGACAAATCCAAGAAGAAGACATATATATTAGTTGAAAAAAAAATTTAAATGGGATTATTCTTGCAATAATTAACAAATAGGAAAAAGTCATGGCTGCTTTTTTATTTTAAAAAAAGTAAATAATATTTGATATATGTATAAGACAATAATTTTGTGCAGCTGCATTAGACGTACGAGTGAGCGCCAAAGGGTCAAAAACAGTACACCAAATGTTTTTATCGAAGGGGAAAGAAAAGATCCCACCTTGTCGACATAGATTGTTAAAAGACCACAGTACCCTTAATTTTCGAGCCTTTATATCGTATAAGCTAAGGTCAAAGTGGTTATTTCGGTCGAAAAGGTTATAATTTTAATTATTTCGTTTTGTATAAAAAGCTTGGGCCAAATACCTTTAATTACTGTTACCGAATCCAATAAATTAGATTCGGTAGGTACGTCGTACTTTTCTAGGTTCACTGGATTGCTTCTTCGTTACAAAATGTGAATCGTATTCCTGTGAAATTTTAAAAACATATTATATGATATTTGCAACGGTATATAATAGAACGTAAAAACTAAATTAGTTCGTTTATTTGTTTGATATTTCTTATAATATTTTTTGCAATAAAATAATTTGTTTGATGTTATAGTTTGAAAGCTTGTGTTTATATACTCTTTTGTTTGGTTTACTATTTGATTAATTGTGATTTTGATTTCATTAAAGTATTTTCTTTTCCCGGAGAATTTGGATAAGAATTTATTTTCGTCGTTTTGATCAATACTTATAAAAAAAATTGTCACCATCATATTTTGATTCTATAATTTCAATAGATACATACCTTAATATATACATATATAGAGAGAGAGAGAGACAAATTGTAATATTTTTTTGTATGACGGGCTCTATATACATAATTAGCTACTAACAAGTAACAACTTGAGATAAATTCTATGGTTGCTTACAAACCTCTTATCAGATGAATTTTCAATTAGATGGCCTATTAAATGAATAAAGAACGGACAACTATGAATATATATATCACTAATAAAATATTTTAGCAATTAAATGTGTTACTGTTACATATCAAATTCTTTATTGGTTCGGATCATGTGTAAAAAAAATTAAATTGGTAAAATTTTCGTATTTAATATAAGTAGCACGTTGTGACTGAATATAATGAGTGCGAGAGCCGTGGGATATAATATCATGCCTTGATTAGTAATTTCATAGCTATAATATTGGGGAATATATATTAAAATATAATATTTGTAAAGAGAAATTATTATTGCTACTACTACTCATGGTAGAATTGATATGAAATGAATAAAAAAGCGTAATGATAAAAAGAGGATGTCTATTTCCAATTATGACTTCGAGTGGTATTAAGTAAACCCTAGATCGTCTTCTAGAGCATGTGAATGAATAATTTCTTCTATAGTTTCCATCGATATGAAGAATGTAATAATGGGCCAACACTAGGTCAATAAAGACATTTTATGTACTTATTAGATTCTCCAATTCATAAATGATAAAATAAAAGTTTGTTATTGTTTTGAATATGATTCGTTATTATTTTGAATAGAATCTGCAATTATATAATTTCTTTAGCAATGTTACGGTCACTTCTATATATGTAACATCAAAAGGTAACGTTTAATTACATGAGCTTGAATTAGGTATACCGTAGCATGTAATTGCATGTATAATCCAATTAATTTATTTATTTTTCAAGTAAATTCCGTGGAAACTAATATAAAAAATGTTAAAGAAAATTAGAGAAAAATAAAATAAAATAGAGTTCGGTGGCAATAGTTCTAAGACCATGTGGCTTAGTTGAAGAGACAGAAACTCCAACCACTATCATATTGTTCTTGAAAATATAGCCTCCTAAGTGGTATAGTCATAGCTAATTTTATGGTTTTCAGATTAATGGATAAAAACATCACTTTAATGTCTAAATATATTTTAATTTCTTATATTTTGATGTTTATTTTTTTGTATATGACAATATATGATTTTATTAGTTTGTTTTAATATTTAGTTTTTTATTGGTAAATTTTCAAGAAAGGTATATACGATATTACTTTTTTGGAATTAGTTTATTATTAAGATCGTATCAGAAATTTTCATATGCAAATACGAAGAATGTTATGATTTATTTTAACACATCACTATCATTTTAATATATTCAAGTTTTTTGTTTGCGATGCCATGTTATCCTTTTATATAATTTCTAGCACTCTTTTGCATGGTATATTAAGATAAAGTTTAAGTATTAAAATGTAGTTTAAAAAACTGAAATGTTAAAAACCTTAAAAAGAGTGTAAGTATTAAATATATAATACAAATAATTTGAATATTAAATATAGTTTGGCACATTTGAATTTGTGTTTATCATATTAATATTGTACTTTAATTTAAAAATTATATACTTTTAAAGGATTAATCTATTTAATGATTTGGAAGTGTAATAATATGGTTTAATTTAAAACATGGGAGTTGGGGATTTTTCTCTAAAAATAAAAAATTTTGTAACTATAGAAACTTTGGGTTCTAATAAATTTTTTGTTTTGAAGAGATTAATAACTTTGTTGGACCTAATATTTTTCATGGGCCTAAATTTTCATGGCGTGGGTTCCAAGCGCTACACTAGCGCGTGAACTCCTTTCCATGATTGGGTTTTGCTGTGTAAGGCCCATGTCTTACTTGGGTTACATATTTAGGCCCAAATGGGACATGACAAAAAAATGGCGCGCCTTTTAGGCACCGATGTCTTTTTCCACGCATCTAACCGATCGTGTAGTTCGATTTTTCGGAGTGGAGACAAGGTGCGTTTAGCGACCAAAATTCTTATTATATTAACTTTTAACCTAAACTCGCAATATTAGGGAGACTAATTATTTTTTTTTCAAATGAAAATACTTGCACACCAAGTAAATGTAACTTCTTTCTTTGTAATGTTATAAAAAATATATATATGAGAAGTGTCTCTCCAATAATTTTATTGTTGAATCAAATGATTGCAAAATAAAAGAGAATAACATGTTCGAGTCACCGTTGACGAGGAATGATACAATTTAATTATAGCAAATCTATCTTTCTATTTATAATATCGTTGAGGAGGAATGATATATATTTATATATATATGTGTGAATTTATATGCATATATTAATTTAAATACATTTAGATGAATATTTGGAGATTTAATAATATTTTTTTTTTGTTGAGTCAGTAGTTTTTTGCTGACTCAACACGCGTGTTTGATTTGAAAAAAATTTAAAAATCTAGATATTTATATGAGAGTTGTGAAAAATTTAGATATTTATATGACAATTTTATAGTTCGGATATTTATTTAGAATTTTTGTAAAAATTCGGATATTTTTATGCGATTACCCCTAAAAAAAATAGCATACATAATATTCCCAAGATAGAAAAAGTAACCAATTGGTAATTCAAAATTCAATTACATTACCAAAAAAGGAATATCCAAATCTATAGATGAATTGTCCGATTACGAAGCCAATTATATGCGTTTTACAGAAGGTGAATTAGCTTCCTTTTTTTTTTTTTACAATAGCCGACAAAAAGAATAAGGTACACTTTTTTTTTTTGGGTTACAAAACAGAAGTAAAACTCTGTCGGGTCATCATCTCAAATTTGGAGATCGTCCAGAGATAACTCGTTTGCCGTCAGAAGCTTCAGTTTCTGGACAAATACAGCAAACCCACCCATAGAAAACAAGAAACTTAGCATCTCTGTAAGCAAGCATATGATACTGAAACTGAAGTTTCTTTCAATTTTTCCGAGAATTGAGAAACTTACGGTGATGAACTGCGGTGGATCGTCGAGGCTCGATGACCCGAGAATTACCTCTCTCCTCAGTTTTCCGGTCAGCTTGTGACAGATCCTTAGCTGAAAATCATGATTTCACAACAGATTAGATCCTAACTAGAATCGCGATTTGGTTTATAGATATCAAAAGGAAGGTTTATACGGTTTGATTCAGTTTGTATGGACATTTTACATATATCCAAGGACTATTATTATTCCCAATGAAAATTACTTTTAGCAAGCTTCTTACCTCTGATCTGGTGGCTCCACCGACTATGAACACAAATATCCGCTGACCCATCTTCTTGAAGTCGCTTGATGCGTGTCTCAGTACCGAATCACTATTAAGAGGGAAAGAAAGTTGAAACAATAAGAGTTCAGTTTCCAACTGTTTTCAAATGGTTTCTGAGCAAGAAGTCGGTCGGTATTAGAAGGAACAATGAGATTCAGCACTTTAAGCTGCATTTACACTTCAATAACTTTGTTAAAATGACTTGGAGAATGATTAATTAAGATTGACGAAGACAATCCATGTGTCTAGGTGTATACATACAGTGGGTTGTTGAAAAGATATTCCCATTACCGCCTAAAAGTAAAGAGACATACCTTGAATACCCATCATCTGAACTCCGAGGCTTAGCCCATGTGGGTGTCCGTCTCGATCTCATGGATTGAGCAACTTGACCTGGAGTACTTACTGATGACGAATGAGATGTTGTCCCGTGGAAACTAGGGCTCGGGTCGTTCATGCATGGATAATCCTCCTTTGGTAATTCTCCTTTGCCAAGTTTCTCGACGAGTTCCTGCCAGTTCAAGGCATGAAAACACTCATATCTCAACCAAAGCATGAACCCATTACAATGGTAAAACGACTGAAGAAGCTACTCCTCGGCTGAAACATATTCAGATTACTATACTTGCATGGCAATATCCCACACAGAGTGCAAGTTAAATTAGAGGACAAACAGCATGCTTTAACATGGATGCTACAGTACCTCTATCATGGGATAAAAACGAGACAATTGCCATGTTTCTTCTTCGTGGCGCTCTTTCCTAGCAGCTTTTTTCTTCTGCCATCATTATCAGAGAATCTAATGAAGATGCACATATTCCAATCCAAGATACAGATGAAATTTTCAGGAAGGGGATCTTGTACCTTGTGAAGATCAAACTTCAGAGTGAAAGTTCCCGTGGAGTTCTTTTTGGTGTCCACAGCTGAACCAAGTAATCTCATATTATTTACAGCAGTCATGTCATCGGCTGATAGTTTCGCCAACTACAAACAGAAGCAATAAGCATTTGGCTTAGTGCATGAGAATAGAAAAAAGATGCATTTGCATTAAATAAACTAATAAATTCCAATTACCTTCATCAGATTTTGACCCTTTTCACCCTCAAATTTCTCAGGGTAAATTGTTGCAAGAATCATCAACAAGCGTAACTTATTTTCACGGCTTGCATCCTGTACATAATTTCGAAACATTTTAAGCTCATCAGGGGAATATTTTCAAGAAAAATAAAGTAAATCAACCACTATAAACTAGATATCGACCTCTTTTGTACTCAAATATTTAATTACATCCTTCATTCCAGCATCACCAAAAACAAGGTCTTGTTGAAGTTGTCCAAGTTCCCGGAGCCCCTGCTCTCTGATGAGGTCGTTGATTTTCCTAGCAATCTGCACCAACAAAAAATTGTAAGAAAATTTGAATATGGAAGGGAAAAGAACAGAAGCGAGAACTCTGAAAATATAAAATATGTTATGCTGAGACCATTTCCAACGTATGCTAAGAAGATCGTGCACATTACAACCAATGATTATGTTCACCATCACTTGTAGATGGCAATAGGAAGGATTACGGAAATAACATGGCAGAGCAGCATGTGGAAGCTAGGAGGGGCACACAACCAGTAAAGATTCTGAATCACAGCACATAACTATGAAACTAACCTCTACATGGAGAGAGAGCTTGTCAATTTGTTCACTATACTGTGGCAATGCTTGAACCATCTTTTGCAAATCCCTTGTGGAAAGCTCACCAGCATCTCTACCCACACAAAAATGAAAAAAAAAAACGGAATAATAAAGATACGTGAATAACAGACACATACCCTGCACCATCACCAAGCAGCAGAATAAGGAAAGCAAACAAGCACTATTTGGTATAAAACATGGAAGCAGAGAACATCCAGAGTAGACACTCTCTTAAAAAAAATCATTAAAAAAAGGATATGTGTCCGGCATAGATCATGGCAGATATATATCAAAACATGATGAAGAAGTAAATTTGACAAGGGGATAAAATATGGATAGAAATATTAACACTATCCACAAATGATCTCTCCTAAAGAAAATTTCAGGGGAAGTAGATCATATGTATCTATACAATCAATCCATAATAAGAATTTACCAAGGAATGATAGCACTCACCTCATACCATGTTGAATCTGAGCAGCTTTATTTTTCGATAAGAAATTAGTCATCTTGTCATGCAACCTCTCACTAGCCTGATGAGATCCCAGGTCAAGGGTATTCGCATTTTCCATTACCAAATACCAAAGAACAAAATAAAGGTCGATGTATCAGACACTCACATCTGCTATATGTGCGTGGCGAAGTTCAAGCCAAATAGGATCATGTTCCTCCAAAAGCACATCTTTCTTCTCCGGTTGTCCACCTGTCTTGCTTGGAACCTAAAAACTAAAAGAACACTTACATGGAGCATCCAGTACATGAGGAACTTGTAAAATCATAAGCACCTATAGAGCATAGATTAGAACTTACCTCGTGCACATACTTGTTTCCTTCCATATTCAGTAAATCATGGCACATGGCATCATACGTCCACTCATGTATGACAGGGGCAATCTAGAAATAGAAAAGCAAAGATTTTTAATCATAAACCCAATTTAAATATGGGGACTGTGTCTTCGATAATAATCTGAAGGATATCTTGTTTACTGATAAAAATAAAAGAAAGGTTCAAGAAGTGTAAAAAAGCAGCTCTAAACCTGGTCTATAGATCTGTCAAGGATGAGCAACTCGCACGTCTCAGTCGGGGGGAAATTTTCAATTGTTTGTTTATATTTTGCCAGACAATTCCAGATGCCAGCTGCCAGCTTTGTAGGAATTAAATCACGGAAAGTTGTCATTGTCGATGCATCAAGTGACTTTGCTGCTCTGTAGCGTACTGATGGAAATTCCCGCAAGGAGGCAAAGACTGTAGCAATTCGACTAGCCATCACATTCAAGCATGCATCGCCTGTTCGAGTAGTTTCCTCATCACCAAAAAGTTCCTCCAAAGCTCTCTCGTTATCAGTGACAAAACCCTGTGCAGGGTTGTGGTTATTTCATGTTTCTTATGAACCCCCATCTTTCACATCATCGAAACATCCACTAACTAATGCAGGTAACATTGCACTTCAGATACAATGTCAGGTTAATCAGCATTCTCAGAGTATACAAGTATAGAGATCACAATTCCAAATATCCAATTTCCTTATAATACCAGCCTAAAATTGATACCTGGCTATCAATGGCAAAATACTCCAAATTCATCTGCAAGATGACAACCAATAAATGGTTAGCAATGGTATTGCTACAACTTAATAGCAGAGAGTAACGTAACAGATCTAAGGAGAGCCAGTCATCGGCCAAGAGAACATATTAATTTAATGAAATATACCTCTCTCAAAGCCCCAATACGAGGTAAGACACTAGAATCTCTCTTAATATGTGCGACAAGATCTCTAGAAACAGGTGAGCTGAAGAAAACAAACGCCCTTCACAAGTGCAAGGTGAAAAAGGAGATCAGTATTTTGAAGAGAACAGGTTAGCTCTGCATATTCCTTAACAAAGGGGAGATGTTTGCCTTACTTTTTGTACAGTGGTGATTTCCCGGACATGTCTGACAAGAACATGATAACACTGACAAAAACAACATAATAAGATGTTTAACCAGAGAATAATGAAACTATTGTGATATGTTTTGAACACCACACTGGAAAATAATACACTGTACGGCAAAAATATCTTACTTCTCTTTCGTTGGTTGAATGAAGTATATAGCATCCATGGAAGGTAAAGGCTGTCGTCGTCTAAATATGTCTTCTACCACTGCAGAAAAATAATAGTTGATGCCAATTAAAGCCTACTCCAGAACTAATAAACATATACAGTCTAAGCTGCAAAAGTATTTCATTCTCACATGAAACGCCTTCTTGAGTGATATCCGCCATCTTGCAGGCATACGACATTATCTTGACAGTAAGCTTGTCCATGATAAGCACCTGCGCACCATAAATCGTCAGGCAAGATAAGGCTCAGCAGACAAAAAAAATCTGACCTACAAGTAACAAAAGGTATATGCAGACAGTTCACAATTATATACAAGCCAAACATACTTTCCAGGTGGATTTCGAGCTCCCTGTTTTAGCAGACCTAAGCATCTCATACAATAGTCCTGGAGAAAAAAAGTACAGAATGAAAAAACATATTGATTAGAAAATGAAGTCTCGTGAAAACCCAGAAGAAAGCTTAAGGTCAGGAAACAAAATGCAGTCAATGCCTCGGGGAGTTCTAGAAAACCCAATGGTGCCACACGTAACTATGCAGTCCATATTCTGTAGGGTAACCATAAAGAATCATACTTTAAATAGTTCTTTAAAGCATTTAAGGCCGATCTTCCTACCGCATTATCAAGACTATAACACCAAATTGCTACTCTACAAAGTGGCGATAGTCACAAAAAAAGTCCATTACTTTTAATTCAGAATATTCTAGGCTGAATGCAAAAGCTCCCTATTAAGTGATCTTACTCTCCTGAAACACTGCCCTCAAATCTTATACACTTCATATAACTAGCATATACAATTAACAAAAGCCTGATTGGGCAATTTTCAATAGTTACGCAGCCCAGAAACGTCACCATCATGAGATTTTAGGGGTTTCCACATTCCTCTCCCAAAATGCCCTTCTTTTTTTTGTCAAGATCCAAATGCCTATTTCATAGTTCACATTTGATCAAATCTACCGACTCTCTCTAGCTCTCATCAACTTCTCCATCACACAGCAACAGTCAGTCACGAAGCCATGGGATTCATTCGTAAGCATATCCAAATTATCTCTATGTTCCCTGCATGTATATACACCCTTACCATAAACCATTCACAGAACATCATCCACCATCCTCATACTGGTCCGAAATCCTCCTCACCTTCTAATTATAACTTCTGAGCCCAAATCATTACAGCCATCAACAGATTTTCCCAGCATTCCATCACAAAAATGTTGCCAAAGCAAAATAGCAACTGATCTAATAGCTCTTGAACTCATCTATCCTTGCTGGGCACATCAATTAAAACCCTAGAAAACTCAATCCACGCGCAGCAATAATCCTAATATCCATAATCAAATCCCAAAGACACGATAAACTAAAACCGCTACTTCGCAAACCTCGGAATCAGCGACAGATCGAGGGAATCGGGAAATGACAAGTCAATTCAAATCAACGAGAGTCCAAAATAGACGAACCACAAACAGCCCAAGAGATGGGGAGAGAAGGAGAACTCACGGTCACGTGTAATCTGTCGGAAATTCTTGTAGTCGACACCCTGAGACGAAGAGTCGGAGTCGGAGTACGACATGGCTGCTAAGATAGCCCGACACGATTTTCCGATCGACGGATCGAACAAAGATCGACCGGAGAGAGAAATACAGACAGGGAGAGAGATCAGAGATCGTGAACTGATCAAACTATAGAGAGAGAGAGAGAGAGAGAGAGAGAGAGAGGACGAAGGAGGAAATGTTCTTTTTGCTTTGGTCGACGGTATCCAAATTATCTGATTAATTACATAAATAATTTGATTAATTATGTTCCTCTTGTATGTGATGTGATGTGGGGTTAGGGATGAGCGGTGACGTGTTGACTCGAACCGGGCGGTTTGAACCGGAAAATGGCGTTTCAATGTTGGACCCGGTCGCTTGATTTTTTTTTTTATCACGCGTTGACCCGAAAAATGACCGATTTGCCCAGGCGTTGGAGTCGCGGCGGCTGCTTCAGACAACAAAAGTTTTCGAGATATTTTTTTAATGGTTTACAATTTATTTAAATAATCCAAAAAATCATTACCCAATACCCAATTTACTTATATATGTTTGAAAACTGTATTCATTAAAGTATCAGACTAGTTATTGTTTTGGTAATTGGATGTATTTATTTTTGTAGGATAGGTTTACATGCATTCTTTATAAATTAATTTTATTCGAATCTTATTCCACACATGAAGTCAGCGATATTGAAGTATGGGTATAATCAAAATGTATTATACATACATACATTACACTGTATTTGTATATATCTTTATGTATATGTATATGCATAGACACCTCTATAAGATGACACGAGAGAAAGTAATAGAATCCAAGAAAACGAAAGCAACGAGAAAATGCCAATATTTAACTTTTCACAGTCCACAAAACCCCCCGAGAAAAAACACAAATTAAATATTAATTTGCAATAAAGTCACTGATAAGTTTTAAATTACAATATCGGAAAACACATTAATGCCTTAGTTTAAACTCCTAACGGGCTACCTAGAATCTTGTCGTCGTTACCGCATTCCATGGCCGTACGGTCGTTGTCGTCGTCCATGCAATGCTTGCAAACCACCTTGCACTTAACCACACTTCCGTACACGTAAAACCCGGGTTGAACCATAACCCGAACCGAGTCTCGTACCAGACCCCTAACCCGGTCTCCACCTATTTCCTCCATGTAAACCGGATCGAACCGGACTCCTTTCTCCACCCGAAAGATCTGGAGACCCGGGTTCACCGAGTTAGCCAGAAGGTGAACCAGCCACACGCTTTTCGACGCCACGAAGAAAGCCTGCAAAACCGGTTTTTGCTTGTTCAATAACCGATGTTGAGATCCCATAAACCGGTCCGGTTACGTGGTTTACCTGCAAGAGCGGTCCGGGCCAAGCCCGGTTCCAGGATAGCATCGAAAGTTCAGGCCTATTTCAGATCACAAGGGAGAGACAATTGCTAGAGAGTTTATGAAATGTTTGATGGATTGGGGCATTGAGAAAGTGTTTGCTATCACTGTTGATAGTGCTAGTGCAAACGACAGTGCTATGAGGCTCTTAAAAACTAGATTGGGTGCTTGCTTCCGATCGCAGAACCGACTGAACTCTTCGGAGAAGTGCTTGGTTCCTCTGCTCAGAACCTCGTCCCAAGTTAGCCCCATGAGAACATTGAAGGAAGCGTAATTAGACTCGCAGCGATCAATCGGGTTGAGGATCCGGGTCGACCCGGATTTCTGAAACCCCGAAGCTTCAAAGTCCTCGAAGAAGGCTCTGGTCAGGAGGGCTTCGAGGTAGAAGACGAAGCTTTTAGGGCTTTTGGCGAAAGAGTTGATCTTTACGTCGAAGGGTTGAAGAAGATGAGACAATCTCTCATACACTTTCCCGCCAACTGTTCGTAGCTGTGACGCGAGGGATCTGCTCAGTGCCCTGATCGAGGATCGGGATTCCGACACGGAGACCAGGAACTGTTGGATGATATGTCCGTTGAACCCGTCTTCCTGTCGGATTCGGATGCTCTGTTTCTGGCTGCTGCATTCGTCAAGACCCGATTTCAGGTTGTGGCAGTAAATCTCGAGCTTCGTCAGCTTCTTCTCGAGCTCGGCCATGGAGGATTTCAGCCTCGAAGCTTCGAGAACCGCTTCTTCTTTCTTCTTCGTCGCTTGTATGAGCTTGTGGGAAAGCTCCGCCACCGCTAAACGCCACTGCTCCTCCCTCGAAGCGGTGGAGGAAGACGGCGGAAGCTGCGGCGGCAGAGGATGCGGATCGCCGCCGCCGGTTTCGGACTTTTCCGAGTCAGAGACTGAAAAATCGATTTGATTATGACGTTGGGGCTCGAGATGAATGATGGGTTTTGATTCTCGAGAGGTACGACGGAGAATTTCTCCCGGTGAGGGTGATGCGGCCGGCATTTGTTGCAGGAGACGGCTACTCCGCCGCCGTCGCCGTCTCCGGAAGAAGCGTTGTCGTATCGTTTTCTGCCTGTGGATTTGCCGTTTTGGTGGTTGTGGAGAGGCGTCGGCGTATGATGATGGCTGCGGCGGTGGCGGCTCGGAGTTGCGGAGGATCCACCATCGCTGCTTGGGGTTGCTATGTTTTTGCATCTTTCTTCGTGGAGACTGTCTTCTTCGCATTCTGGGATCTGAAAGGGAAAAAACAAAAGAAAAAAAACATTAATTTTCTCGGGAAACAGGGGGAATCATGTCATTAAGAGAGTAAAAGGTTGAATTTTTTAAGGAGTATAAAAGCGAGACTGGACGAGATCTTTATGCGAGCAATGAGATTGAATAGATAATGTTTTCAATCTTTAGATGAAGAAGTAACAGTACTAATTCTGCCCAGTTTTCCTTCATTTTCTCGGGAAACAAACGGGGGTTGGCAAAACTTTCAGGACAGAGAAAAAGGACGAATATTCAAGGCGAACCCGACGGAAAAAGTTTCTGCAATTTTGTGAGAAAGAGAGAAAAAAGAGGGAACTTTTATTTTGGGTAACAAAGAAAAACACGAATCTTCATTTGTTTTCTTCGAAGCCAGAGATTTTCTTGCGTTTTCCCGGGAAACAAACAAGGGTTTGACTTACAGGAGTGAAGTGGAAGGATTGGTGAAGAGAAGGAACTGGAGATTTGGAAGGAGAAGACGAAGACGACGGAGCCATGTTCATGTTCGTGTCTTCTTCCGTTTATCTCATCTGTTTTTTTTTTTTTTTTGCTTTTGGTTCCTTTTTATTATGCTTGCTTTAATATCATCACTTTATAATATAATATATATATATATATATATATATATATTATCTTTTTTCTTTTAGTCAAATTATAAAAAAATGGAACTGGAATGATGATTCTTGCTCGTAAGGTATCTCACTGTTCACTTTCCATCTAAACTCGGGTCAAATAATAAATTGTGTTTCCCTTTTAACCTCACCATAGTTTGGAGATTCTGACCTAACAACGATTTTATCTTTTGCAATTTTACTCTGTAAAATTTTAACTTTTTATTCAAATAAGTTAATAATATCATGCTTGTAAAATTCATTCCTTTAATTATAAACCTGCATTTAACAGTAAACTAAGCTTAAGAGAAAAAAAAAACCAAACCAAATCAGGAGACGGTTAAAAGATTTGTGGAGGATTTTACAATTCATATATTATGTATATGCAAATGTATGTGTGTGTATATATATATATAGTAATGATGGTAATTTCCTTGGATATGTAAAACGGATGTTTAAGTTTCTCTCTCTTTTCGTTTTCTTTCACTTTCAAAGGTTTTATTGTTCATCTCGTCTTCTTGTAATCATTGCTTCTGGACCAACCAGAGGTTTTGCTGGATCTACTTACACACATCCACAGCAAACTCCTCTCTGCAAATAAAACAAGCGAATGAGACACGTATGTATGTATGTATGTATGTATGTATGTATGTATGTATGTATGTATGTATGTACCGTGAATACGCTTGAATATGTATACATAAATATGGGAGCCAAAGCGCTTGGTTCCAATTCCACGTCATGATATCCATCCCCTTATAATTAAATAGAATACAAAACTATACACATCTACAAAACCACATTTACGCTATAAATATTTAAGCTAATATCCAACAGAACCATCTATAATATAACGTTATCCGGATCTGATATAAAAGTCGATTGAGTATATTCTCTAAGAACAAACTAATAAAATTCAAATCGAATATAAAATAATTTTAAAAACTAAGCTGCAAAAAACATTTTATTTAAAAAATGAATGATTCTGTAAAATAAAAAAATTGGTTATAAAGCAAAATTAAGCATAATGTAAACAAAATAGTAACCCAGATAAAAAAGAGAACATAAATAATGCATATATAAAATCGGAAAATATAATTTTCAAAATAATATAATTATAATTATATGAAAATATACAATGGGCATATAATAAATACGAAAATCAGGACCAAAAAATAATTCAAGAGCTTTTAGTTTTTCATCTGTTAAGTAAATTAAAAGCAAAAAAAAATTAAAATAAATAAAAGCATCACAGGAAAAAGATGCTTATCTAATAAATGCATTGGGTGCTAGATAGATAAAGAGGGCGTACCAAATATTTAAATTATCAATTGCTTCCATGTCCATTAGCCTATTATGGGGGGAAAAAACAAACATTAAATTTCGTATCCTATAAGCATTCGGGCAATCATCGTTTCTAAAAAGTTAAGGTTAGTTAAATTAAATCACTATTTGTGTTTAGCATGGGAGTTACCAACCATCAAAGGCAAATGAAAAAAAGCGTTTATATATCTATTTTTATTGCAATTTTTGGATTTTTGTGAATGGTGGAATTTGGTGACATTAAATGAGAGTTGCAAATTTCAGAAAATTGTGAACATCAAATGCACTCACCAACCACCTCATTCATGCAGCTTGACCCACTTCCATCCATCCATACCCTCAATATATATATATATATACACATATCAATGGGGCAATATAAAAAATATTCTAATTTAAGGGATAAATTTAAAATTTTTTATGGGGGCATTTAACAATTTTTGTTAGAAATTTATAATGAAATCAAGTTTTTTAAATAAAATGAGTGGGGGCATATGCCCCATAGCTTATAACATAGATCCGCATATGCATATATATATATATATATATATATATATCATCAAGTATATCACTTGTAGATTGGTGTGCCATTCATTGGGTTTTGTTCCTTGTCGCAGGGGTCGGTAGAAATTATCAAAATTTTAGTTGTATCGTTTATATTTTATATTTATTAAAAAAGTACAAGTTTTTAAATCATTTTTTTATTATTTATTATAAACAAAGTACCATATATTGAATAACAAAATAAAGAACATTTATTTATTTACAAAATTCGAACTCGAATATTTCATAATACTCGAACAATTTTTATTATATGAATTTTACAAATCAAATTTTAAATTTTAATATTCATATTATTTGAATATTAATCCGAATAATCTATAATACTTGTGCATGTTCAACTCATACCCATTAATTTAGATATTAAAAATATTTTTTCATTTATGGTGGTATAGATTTTAGCTTAGATAGATATCAAATTCTTATAATTTGAACATTTATATATAACTCAATACACACACATATATATATATATATATATATATATAGAAACATTAGAAATATAAATAGGCGAGATGATGTGCCCCATACGTTGGGTCCTGCATGCTCCTTCTCGGGTGAAATTAATTTTCTTTATCATGTGTCTTGTGATTGAGTTATATTAATAAAATAAAAAATAAATAATGTTTCCCTAACTTTAAATGATATAGTTTCAATATCCGAACTTACTTCTATAAACGATATTAGAAGGATATATAATCTATATTCCCGCAACTCACTCGAACCAAAACATAAACTCGCAATTTACACACTAAAAATTGTCGATGAGGGTAATAAAATTCTATTTAAATTAAAATATATTGTTAATCTGTAAATTTAAACTGTTTTATTCCTCAACATTACTTTTCCATACAATATAAATCCAATCAAATTTCTAATCTATATTATACTAGAAAATTTTATGAATGAATAAAATCAAATTTTATTTATATTTAAATTTTATCAAATTAAATATCCGCAAGCATTAAACTATCGGTGTATCTATTTACTAATAATTCTCTTTGTGGACCTTTTGATAAAGCGCAAGAATTCCACAATAATATCTATCCATAGATCTCTCTTCTCATTCTCTCTCTTTTTAAATTGGTCATTCATTTCATCCAAAACTATATGTTCCATTTTATTTTTATTTCTCCTTTATACATATGATATATATATATATATATATTCCAACAATTTTAAATAAAACACAAAGGGAGAGAAATGTACAAGGGGCATGTGAAAGTAATTACTGAGATAAACGGAGGGTAAGATGGTCAAAACAGGTTTCGATGGGCCATTGGGCTTTTCTTTTACATCAAAAGCTCGCTGACTTTGCGTGACACGTCTCTTTTATCGTTTTGGATCATGTGCACGTGTCACTGTTTTTTCTGATTTTTAAAAACATTTTTGTATAAATAAATAGATAAATAATTTATTTTGATTAAATTTAAAAAAATGACGTTGGTTGGGTTACCGGGTCAGACCGGTCAGGGGAATGGGACAAACCAATGCCGAAGGGAAACATCGGGCCACGACAAAACAAACTTCCAACGTACATTTTTCACTTTGCCAAATATTGTCTCATTTCAAAGTGTACATCTCCATATATATATATATATACACACACGTGTGTATGCATATGATGATTTACAGCAGTGACACATTTATGTATACGCGTATATCCGCAGGTTTTATGTGAAGAAGCGTATAATATTTTAGAAAATAATGTTATATATTTACGTTTTGTTCTTCGAATTTAATTGGTTTAGCGAACCACCCAAAACCAGACCGTAAAACGAACCATTGGTTTTCCAGAACCGGAAATTGGGAACATCGTGAAATCAGTTTCTCTTTTTTGGTCTTTCCCCTTCCCTCCATCGGCATAGGAATCCTCAAAGGCGAAAATGGCGGCGATTAGGACGACGACGAACATGATCCTGCCGCGTCGGAGACAATGGAAGAAGTCTTCGGTTCCTCGTGGTTTCCGGTTCGCGGCGGAGACTTCCCAGTGGGGGAGATCGGAAGGTCTCTTCGATCTACAGGGAACGAGCTTACTCCGCAGATTTCTTCTGGTATCAATGATCATCGCTTTCGCATTCAGTGCTTTGTTTGTTCCCTGTAAAGTTTTCAGGGGTGTGTTTGGATTTCTGGGCAAAACCCAAGAAAGAAATGAAATTTGTGAGAGATGATTGGGTCTGATTTTTGATGAGCCTTGTGAAATTTTACTGTGATGGCCATACCATAGACCACGATTCAGTCATCATAATCCGACCATCATTTGCAAGAGATGAATATAATTTTAGTCAATTCCTGACTTTTGGTGCTTTCCAGTGAAAATCATATAAGGGGTATCGAAAATCGGTCGGATGATTTCATAGTCAGTATTCTGTTCTGGGATAGGTGGAGGAAAATGTGACCTTGTATGGATTCTTATAGAGCTCCATACAAGCCTTTGAGTGTTTTGGGATGGGCAATTGAATGAAAACCGTTTAAAGGGTTATTATTCTCTTATCTTCCAATGGATTAAAACTTTACCATGGTAACCAAAATTTGACAATACTCTCCCCCACATTGAAGAATTTAATGCATATATATGGCTTAGATGTCTGGTTTTTGATCATGTCACTGTCAACTTTTTACTGTGGTCCGTCCGTGAGGTCGAAATGTGAACAAAGGTGTCTTCTTTCCCCATTTCATTCCTAGCATCTTTATGACTTGTCTGATGTATCGGTGGTGCTTCACCTGTAACAGTGTTTGAAGTGAATTCCAAAGCCCGACATGCCCTTCAATGCGGAAATGCATTCCGCCTAAGTGACAGGATCAGGCAGAGGATTATGCAGATGGTTTGTTCTGCTCCATTCCCCCCCGCCCCCTCAATTTACTAGAAAAATATGACAGGGAACCTAGCCGATGCAATGCATACCAGCTGACGACGGTTTTAGGGTTACGCTTTTCGGATATGTTTTTTTTATTTCTCCTTCTTTGTTTTGGTTTAACGAGAGTGTTATCTATGGACAGGAGAAGAATGGTATTAACAAAGAGGGAGAGCTATCAGCTAACCAAAACTATAACACAGAAGTCAGGTACCTAGTTTTCTTCTTCCTCTCATTACCTTCCTTTTTATCAAAGATTCTTCAAATCGATTTTTTTGTTTGTTTAAACTTCTCTTCATTGTATTGTAAACTGATTCTCTCGAAGTTTTTGTGTAATAATCCGAACAGGAGAAGATTATCCATGCAACCGAATATGTACCTCCACCTCCAGTACAAGAACAGAAGAAGAAGAAGAAGAAGATTGTAAAGATGTAGGAGTAGGAACTTATCTTGTAAATGTATTAAAACTCCCTAATCTATAAACTTAGCTTGTATCTCATCATATATATCAGTTGTAATTGCAATGTACAGACCAATCAAATTGTGTTGTCCCTATTTTCTGATAACATGTTCTTCTCCTGATCTTTGATCAATGTGTCTGATCCATCTTCTCTTGTTATCATCTTCCTTTTCCGTTTTAGTTGCTGCCACGTGTGAGATATCTAACCCTCCCATCACCGGAATTGTCACCGTTCTTACAACTTTCCGGTCTCTGGCCAACGCCCTTCTCCAGCTGAACCCCGAAGCACTTGTCGAGTAACCGCTTCTACAGACTACAACCGCTCCTCGGCCACCGAACGCAGCGTTTCGCAAAACGGCCGACGCCAATTCCTTATGCCGCCAATCAACGACCAGGAAGTCGACCCCTTGCAGCTTCTTCATCGCTTTCTCGGGATTTTCAGCGACGATGATCTCTGGTGCGTTTGAGGAAAACGCGGATTCTTCTTTTGATATGGCTTTGGAGTTGGAGATAAGCGGTCTGGGAACTCGCGTTTGGTAGGATGCATATGTGTTTGGCGTTTGTGTGATGGGCCGCGACTGTTAAGCCAATGCTCGTGGCTATGGCTTCGCCTTCAGACCATGTTTCCACTATCAGTTTCGCGTTCCAGCCCGCCGCCATGGCTGCGATCAGCTCCGTCGCCCCCGGCGTTCCCAGATTCTCGCACTGCAAAAAATGAAAAAAAAAAACCCCAAAATTGGAACTTTGCAATACCCAAAAAACGAAACCTTAGTTCTGGAAAAAAAAAAAATCCAAGAACAGGTTCTTGGGAATGGTGCGATACGTAAGAGATTACGACAAGATTGCATCGGAATCGTTGTCGGGAAAATATTACTTACCGATTAAACTGTGTCTATGTAAGCTTTTGATGCTGTCTCCGGAGACCAAACCAGCTTCATCTTCATCTTTCTTCTTCTTCACTGACAGAGGATGTTTTCCTTCTATAACATATGACAATAAGCAAAGCAAAATCGCACGTTTTGCCTTTTATTCGCAGATTCTTTTTTATTTTTGGAAAGCAGCCCCCTGTATTATGATTTGTTTCTTGATTTGCCCCTACTGTTATAAATTTTTCAAGTGCCTCCTTAAATTGTTACACATTAAAATGAGTCCTTGCCGGTTACATAAAATGTACCACTAGCTTTATTGACACATTCATACGCAATTAACCGATAAGATGGCGGTGTTAGAGTGAGAGTTCTTGTATTCATATAATAATTCCATGGTATACTTGGGAAAAATATTTTAGAATTGAGGACTATCAATAAATAAATATTTCAAGAAAATTTGTTTTTTCTAGAATATATTTTGCTTCCTGTTTTCTGGGGATATTTTGGACCATCGCCATCGACATTTTCACAAGCGAAGGTTTGGATTTGGTTTACAACGAGATTAAACTGCTAATCTTTAATTAGTAAGGACCGACTGACATTTTAAAATGGTAAAATATTTTGGTTTAGATATTCACCAACAAATACATACATATATATATATATATATATATATATTATTCTATTTTTATTTGCTTTCACTTGGAAAATGACACGAGAGGCTTTTGATCGAAAGCATCATTAGGTCATGTTATGTCCCTTTCCCTCCCCACTAATTTTGGTCTCTCTCTATACACATAAATCTCACATCGGAAGGTGGAAACATTTTAAAACATGATGATTCGGTCCACACTCTAAGCAGAAAATGCTTAATTGGTCATTTGAATCTATTAAATTGACTGATTACACATTGATATTTGTGTAAATCAAATATATATATATATATGATTGGAGTTTTATCGGATATCCAATCAACACAACTTCACGTGTACACATATGAATATTTCTTTATATAATGAAGCTGAAATGGCAAAAAATATCCTATATTTTTTGAGAAAAAATTCTATATTTTTTTATTATAAAAAATCTATACTTACATTTATTCACCAAAATATATATATACACTCTTTAATATATTTAAAACAAAAAAAACCATGTACTCTTTTTATTACCAAACAAACTTGATATTTATATTTATTCGTCGAAATATATATGTAGTTTCTAAATTCTACCAGATAAACTCCTAAACGCAATGCTAAAAAAGGATAGTAAAAAATTTATCAGAACTAACCCAACTGATATATACCTGAACCGAATTGAAGCGATTAAAATAATATACCATATTAGATATGAATATTTCAAATTCGAAATAACCGAATAGAATCCGACTGATATAAATCCAATCTAGTGTATTTTAGATTCGGTTATTTCAGAGTCGATTATTTAAAATAATATGTTATTTAAATAAATACAATTATTTTGGGTTCGGTTATTTCGGATTTGAAATATTCATATTCAATCTGTTATATTAATTTAATTGATCGATTCGGTTCGAATATATATCGGTCGAATCCGGTTCGATTATTTTGGGTTCAGTTATTTCGGATTTGAAATACTCATATCTAATATGGTATATTATTTTAATCAATTCGATTCGGTTCGGATATATATCGGTTGGGTTAGATTCAGACAAATTTTTTACCGTATTTTTTTGTCATTTGCGTTTAGGGATTTATTTGTTAGAATTTATAAAGTACGTATATATTTCGACGAATAAATATAAATATAAGGTTTGTTTGGTAATAAAAGTTACATGTTTTTTTGTTTAATATTTGAAGAATACATGTGTATATTTCGGCGTAAGTATAAATATAGTATTTTTTTTTATAAAGAAAGAGTAGACATAGTCACATAGTATAGTATAGTGTTTTTTGGTCGATTTTTCCTAAAAGTAAAGGATAATGGGCCAGGCCCATCCAATTGAGCCTTGCCATAGCTTATAAACGACACCGTTTTGCCTCGTCTCCTCCGAATCGTCAACGCCACCCTTGAGATCGTCGGTTTCCATTGTACAGGAGTGAATAGGAAATTCCACGGGGAGAGAGAGAGAGAGAGGGGACCCGGAAAGGAAAACCGATCCAAGAATCCGGGAGAAGGCAAAATGGGAAAGTACAATCTGACCGACAGCCAGGTCTCGTCGATGAAGGAGGCGTTCATTCTCTTCGACACCGACGGCGACGGGAAAATCGCTCCGTCGGAGCTCGGGATCCTCATGCGGTCCCTTGGAGGCAATCCGACACAATCCCAGTTGAAATCCATCATCGCCTCTGAGAATCTCACGTCGCCGTTCGATTTCGATCGGTTCCTCGATCTCATGGCGAAGCACCTGAAGCCGGAGCCTTTCGATCGCCAGCTTCGTGACGCGTTCAAAGTTCTCGACAAGGAAGGAACTGGGTTCGTAGCTGTCTCGGATCTGAGGCATATACTCACCAGCATCGGCGAGAAGCTGGAGCCTAGCGAGTTCGATGAGTGGATCCGGGAAGTTAATGTTGGGTCCGATGGTAAGATCCGGTACGAGGAGTTCATCGCCAGGATGGTCGCCAAGTGAGATCTAATCTTTACCTCGTTGCTGAAATCTGAATCTGGGAACGAATTCGAGATGATTCCTTCGTTTATCCGACTGTTGGTTTGAACGAATTCTAGGGCTTGTTTGGCATTTGGTTTGCAATACGATTGGGGAATTTCCTATGGGACAGTTCTAACTTTATGTTCTTCCTGTTTGTTTTTCTCTGTGTGGATGATCCTCTTCATTATCTATTTCCAAGAACTGTTAAAATCTCTCATTTTTTTTACCAGATTTATGGCTTTATCAAAATACAATTGTACCCATGTGTATATTCACATAGATCTGGGAGTAGATTAGATGCAATTTACGGTATGAACACAACCCATCTGCGTCATAACATCGTCTTGTTCATCTTCTAGTTCTGCCAACTGTAGTTGTTGATGGGTGATCTTGTACAGAGATCCTGCAATGATCTTTGAGCTTTACTTTGTTCAAACTCCCTTTCTGCTGTCATTTTGCTTTCGGTTTGGACTGATGAAAGATCTTAGGAGTTTGCGGTGACTTGCTTTCGCCGTTCTTGAAAACAGCGATCACGACGAGGCTTTCTTTCCCACGACGAGGAACCATCGGGCTGGAGTCGAAAATGGTCCAGGCCCTTGTGAATTGTGATGCTATACTAACTAGACTCGTGCCATTGAGCTAGACAAACCTTTGTTCATTGACTACTTGTATCAGGTTTGTAGATAGAGAGACCTACATTCAGAGGCATTTTATGTGACCCTTTGCTGAGAAATGTCTCATTCTGAATGTCATTGATCTAGATTTGGTTCGGTCCGGTTTGGTCTAGACATACATTCAGAGGCATTTACTGGTATCTTATGTGACCCTTTACTGAGAAATATCTCATTCTGAATCTCATTGATCTCGGTTCGGTTTGGTTTGGTCTAGCCTGTGAAACAAATTGAGATTGGACCGGTTAAAACTAAACGGCAAGTGGTTAGTTTGGTTTAAGTGAGTGAGACCATGAAACGGGTTATAACCGGTAATAAAAGTGGTTGGGTCTGATGGTTCCCTCTTCTTGAAGTGGAGTATTCCATTTATCAAATAAATATGATAATTAAGGAATTCTAAGTGTCTGAAAAAATTAAAACACAAAAAAAGCCTGCTGTCTGGGCCCATGCCCCAAAAAAAGATATGGCTTTGAATGGTAGGAGTTTTTGGAGTTTTTGAAATCCAAAAACAAAAAAAAAATAACATTCAAGTTTTTACAAAATTACTTTTCCTAAAAACTTGGAAAGTCATTTTAGTGAAAAAATCAATGAAAAACCAAAAGCTACTTTTTTGAGTTTTCAAATATTATAAAATCCAAAAGCCAAAAACCAAAAACTAAAAACCAAAATCCAAAACTAAAACCAAAAACCCAAAATAAAAACCATATCCATTCAAAATCATAGTAATCGCCGTTCCGTTGGCAGGTGATGTTTTGATAAGATATTTTTTGTTTTATCTGTCGCTGTTAGCCACGTTTGGGACGCGTTATTTAAAGCAATAATCATTAAAAAAAACAATAGAGTTCATGCTATTATATGGTCTTGAGATATGTAATTCTATGATATTTTTTTATTAAGAATTTCAGAATTTCATATTCATGTAAACCGTGACCGTATATACATTTACTCATTATGAAGAGTAAATTAGATTAGTTGTTTGGATGGGCCGTAACCATTTTATTATTTTAGTTGTTGTGTATGGTCATGCATCACGGTTTTCTCGTACAAAATGATTTTAATTATACGAATAATATGTTGTTTTTTTCTTTTAATTCTTACATAATGAAGCGTTGTATCGTAAAAAAAATGTATAGTAAAACCTTTTTTTTTTGGGTAAACTATAGTAAAACCTTTTAGTTTAGGAAACATCAACATCAACATCAACATCACCTTATTTCCAAATTTATTTAGAGTCAGCGCCCAATTTTGATTACTATATCTATACTATAAAATATAACTGTCCTCACACAGATCTGTCAACAATGGCGGATTCTTTTTTAGCTCGTCTCTCTCTCTTCCTCTTCGCCTTACTCTTCCTCTTCGCAACCTACTCATGGGTTTATCGACCCGACCCGAATTTCAATCCCACTCTCGGGTCGGGCTCCACGGCCCGGGTCGACCGCTCGGAGGAGAAGCCACGTCACCCGCTTGACCCGCTGACGGCGAGAGAAATCGACAGGGTTCGAGCCATATTAACGGGTTATAACCCGGGTTTCGGATCCGGGTCAGCGAAGATCCACGCCATGACCCTCGACGAGCCGGAGAAGACGCGTGTCACGCGGTGGAGGAAGGGTGATCGGCTTCCGCCGCGTACGGCGGAGGTCGTGGCGATGTGGAACGGCGAAACCCACGTGATGACGGTTCATCTGGATTCGGGTCGGGTCGTGTCCGATCGGGTCAACCCTACTTCTGGGTACCCGATTCTCACCTCGAACGAAATCATGGCGGCTTCCCAGGTATGTATGTATGCATGGTTATATAAAACCGTATATGTCCGGTTCGGAAACCGGCCGATGAATTTGGTATTAGCTTGCCGGTTTATTAGACACGTTCACGAACCGATACTACAACCGGAATTTCTTTTATTCTATACGGTTTACTGTATGAGTGTAAAATGGGTTAATAAATCGCTTGAACCAGTTCGTAATCATCCACGAGGTCGGATGAATCACGAATTATATTGCAAACTGGACCTTAATCAACTCTAATTATATCTTTTATTCTATTCTTTTTCACACTTTATTCTTCAATATGTCAAATCGATAACAACTATATAGTAGTTGTATTTGACTTGAAAACATATTTTTTGGATATGAACCATTTATTTGGTCTCACAATGGTCAACTCGTTTATGTATCGAAATATAATTTGGTGGACCGAATAAGCTCGTTTTACATCTGATTAACTATGGCCAATTTGGATTAATAATTAGACCAATGTGCCGACCGAACCTGCAGGTTCCATTCAAGAGCATAGAGTTCAACAACTCGATCAAGGCTCGAGGGATTCCGTACGCCGATCTGAAATGCATAACCCCATCGGCCGGATGGTTCGGACCGGACGAAGAAGGACGACGAGTCATAAAGATTCAATGCTTTTCACAGCAAGGCACTCCCAATTTCTTCATGAGACCCATCGAAGGCCTTTATATGACGGTCGATATCGACAGATTGGAAGTCATTAAGATCGTGGACAAGGGTCCGGTTCCGGTTCCTAAAGGTGCCGGTACAGATTACCGGTTTAAGGTTCAGAATAAACCGGCTCAGATGGACCGGATCAACCCTATTTCCATTGAGCAACCGGAGGGTCCGAGTTTTAGGGTTGAAGATGGTCATTTGGTCAAGTGGGCCAATTGGGTTTTCCATATCAGACCGGACCAACGAGCCGGTTTAATCATTTCTCAAGCTACGGTTCGCGACTCCGAGACAGGTAACCTAATTCTTTTATATAAAAAGAAAAAAAATAAAAATAATTGAGCTCTTAATACTTACTCTTAAGAACACAGATTTAAAATAGTTTGAAGAAAACGGCAAATTTCAATAAATAAGTACCTTTTATTATTAGAAGAAATAGATATAAACTTTGGGGAAATGATAACTTTGTTAGTGAAACTCGTCTATTTTAGACTAAACATGGCCGGTCTCAACGAATAAAATACGCTAATCATCGACCTTTTATTATTGCTAATCATAGAGTTGGTATTACTAGCAAATAATTATGTTATTGTAATCGAGAAACCTTATAATATGTTTTTGTAATAATCTTTTTAAGTCCATGTGCCACCTACTTAGACAGAATCTTCTAGTAAGTATCCATATCATATTCCATGAAGAAAAGATGTGACAAGCTTCAATAAATACTTTTTACGAAATGGTCCCTAGATTTTTACTGGTCTTACTATTCAGCCTTACATTTTGAAATCTACAATATAACCCAGGTGAACCAAGGAGTGTGATGTACAAAGGGTTTGCGTCGGAGATGTTCGTTCCGTACATGGACCCTGAAGAAGGATGGTACTTCAAATCGTACATGGACGTCGGCGAGTTCGGGTTGGGCCCCACGGCAATGCCGCTCGTCCCTCTCAACGATTGCCCACGAAACGCTTACTATCTCGACGGCGTCTTCTCCTCTCCCGACGGAATACCTTATATCCAATCCAACATGATTTGTTTGTTTGAACGTTATGCCGGCGACGTTAGCTGGCGACATTCTGAGATCCTTCTCCCCGAACAAGGCGTATGTTTGTTTCTTGTGCCTCGAATCCTCTAAAGACCGGTTTCTCTTTTTATGAAATATTTCATTTTTGTATGATTCGGATGGCAGATTAGGGAATCGAGGGCAAAGGTGACACTAGTGGCTAGGATGGCGGTTTCGGTTGGAAATTACGACTATATTTTCGACTGGGAGTTTCAAACCGATGGTTTGATTCGTGTTACGGTATGAGAAACGTAACTTTATAATGATTCTTGGCTTTTAGATTCAGTTATACATTCGCTTATACCGAAAAGTTCTCCATAGGTTTCGGCCTCGGGAATGCTTATGGTGAAAGGAACGCCGTACCAAAACGTAGATGATCTCGGCGACAAAGAGGACGATTCTGGACCGTTGATCTCCGAGAACGTGATAGGAGTCGTACATGATCATTTCGTAACGTTTCATTTAGACATGGACATCGATGGATCGACGAATAACTCTTTCGTTAAGGTTCATCTAGAGAAGCAGAGAGTTCCGAAAGGGAAATCGCCAAGGAAGAGTTACCTTAAGGTCAAGAAGTATGTAGCCAAGACTGAGAAGGATGCTCAAATCAAGCTCAATCTCTATGACCCGTATGAATTCCACGTTGTAAACCCTAACCGGCGGTCTCGGTTAGGAAACCCGGCCGGGTACAAAATCGTACCGGGTGGTAACTCAGCGAGTCTGCTCGACCACGACGATCCACCACAAATTCGAGGTGCTTTCACTAACAATCAGGTACTTCTACAAAATTTTGGTTTACTTGGTATATGTTCGGTTCAATAGCAAAATGTTAGGTTCATGATGCTAATTTGATGATTGATTTAAACCGGTTTAGATATGGGTGACTCGGTACAACCGGTCAGAGCAATGGGCCGGAGGAGTTCTAATGTACCAAAGCCAGGGTGATGACACTCTACAGGTCTGGTCCGACCGGTAAGTAAACCGATACGCCATACCGATAATTCATACCATTCCCGGTTAATAACATTACCAATATGTTTGCATCTTGTTTGTGTTGGTGGTGAAACAGGGACCGTTCGATCGAGAACAAGGATATAGTCTTGTGGTACACGTTAGGATTCCATCACATCCCGTGTCAAGAAGATTATCCGGTTATGCCAACGGTGTCGGCTAGCTTCGAGCTTAAACCGGTTAATTTTTTCGAAAGCAATCCGATCCTTGGGGTTGAACCCTTCTTCGAGAAAGATCTACCGGTTTGTAGACCGGCTGCTACATCTTGATTGATCCGGTTTACTGTAAGGTAAAATTAAATCCAATAAATTTATGTGATCTTTTTGTAGCCCTTTGTAAGTCCGTAAGTCCAATGTAAGGGAAAAGATTCACAATTATACAAAACCAGAAAAGCCGGTTTAAACCGGTACCGGTTTATAGGGCAAAGCTGTATTGAAATTCTTTAGAAGCCTTTCATCATATTCGTATCCATGACATTGACATAACACATGATTTAAATACAAACTAAACCGATCTATAGATAATCTAAGGTCAAATTGAACCGAATTTAATTATGCCTTGCTTTGGTTCAACCTCTCATACGAAAACAAACCCAAATACATACTATAAGATTAATTACATAAACCGGCCCGAGAACCGAACCTCTTTTATTTAAAGATAATATATTTTATATACTAATCCCCAATCTACGCCATATCCGAATTGAACCTGAAATAAACACTCTTTATTTTAATTTTGTGACAATTTGAAACTGAATAAGGATAAACAAACTGGAAATTCTCAGCCTTACGCAGCCTACAGATATTACAATGGGAAACATAAATAAACCATTACAAAAAAAAAAACATAAATAAACACAATTTTAAAGTAAACAAAAAAAAACAAAATATTTTATTTATTTATGTAGTCCATGTATTGTAATAGTGGACCACCACCAGTCGCGAAAGCTCATGCAAGACCACAACCAATTGATTATTCGAGTCCATGAACGCACAAAACGCCAAGGGATATGACGGTGAAATATATCATAATCGACGAAAAATAATAGAATATTCCAATAAAATTTCATATCTCCACGTGAGTGATTTATATTAGGTTTTAAAATGGGTGATAATTAATTATATTTAAAATATATTGGCAGCTGTTATTGTTTCTTTTGTTTATACATTCACGATAAAATGGAGTTAATATTTTCATAAATTTTCTTTGTAGGTGAAATCAACTATATATCACAGGATATATTTTTTTTAATCTTAAAGTTATCATATGATCTTAACATTTAAATTGATATATGCTAAGATTAACATTGATTAGAGTGATTTCTAAGCTATTATCATTCATTATAAAATAATTTAAATGTAATTGTAAATTGTAAATTGTAACATCATGAATCCTGAAAATATATATAGTGTTTGAGAAAAAAATGTTTAATATTTGTTTATAATCAATGTATTTCGATTTTTTTTATTCTGTCTTAAAATTTTAGAAAGCACCACCTATTAGAAAATTCTATGTGCATGAAAACCAAAATAAAATATGTTAAAAAGGATGATAAAGTATTATATTATTTGGAAATTAGTTGCTACTTGTGGATAATTTAGACGATTAAACGTGTTATGCATTGTAGTTTTGTGAGGTTTCTATGTAAATACATTGCAAGAAAAAAAAAACACAAAGGATTTCAACTCTGTCCCGTTTTGGTTTGATCAAAATGGCGACAAGAAACCTACAAACTTCATGTCCAAAGAGCTAAAGAAAAAAATGGAAAATCTAAAAAGCAAAAAAAAAAAAGGAAGAAGAAGAAGAAGATTATTGTGAAAATAATAATTAATGGAAGTATAATTAAAATACTCAAATCTCGTTTCTCAAATTAAATTGGGAGGTTAAATCTCACTATACAAAAATGCTTTGATTTGTGTATATTAATGAGTCCAAAGTAATATAAATGATTGATTGATATTCGAAAACGTGGAAAATATCTTCTTAAAAATGTGCTTATATCGCATCATACAATATATATATAGTTTTGGAGTTCATAATCTCAAGCATATGTTTTTGTACAAAATGCGTCTATATATGGAACGTTTAATTTATTTGGAGAAGAATGTCTAAGGTTTATTATTATTATTATTATATGGAAACAACTTAGAAATTAGTGAAATTTAAAGGGCCAACCATATAATATGATTGTCTGTAATCATTAGCTAAATGTATAATCATTCTGTCAGGTGAAAGGAGATATCAATTCAACAGTCTCATAATCACTACTATGCTTAACACATTTTTATTTAATTAATCTTTGTAATATCAAATGATATTTAGCCATATAAAAATCAATGTATGAAAATGAAATTATTTGTTTTTTGGGGGGTCAGTTTTGTTTCCATTGTTCCTTGTGAGTTTCTTTTGTTGTCTCATATTTCCTTTGTGGGTTCAATATCAATATCATGATGTCGATGTTGGAATCTTTTTCATTTTCAAATTATACGTAATTATTATTTAATTAAAAAAACGCCGACAAAAATAATTTTCGTTTCTAGAAAAAAATAAACGATATCTTTTGAAATTAACACCGTACTTATCCAAAGGCAATTGTACTTCATTTCCTCCGAGTTTGGGGCGCAATATTAGTACTTAATTTAGTTTATATAGCTATATACTAATTCATATATTATTAATATTTAGCGAATTATTACTATAAAACTTTAATACACGATTATACACATAAAATATTATATACGGCCTGATTTTGGGTTGGTTGCGATATTTTGATTATTAGCGTTTTCCGTATAATATTTGATGCAGATTGCTAACGCAACTTTCATAAATGCGTCTCACACTTCTTATTATTGCTATATATACACATATATGCGGGTGCATACATAGCCATTCTCTAACATACCAAAGGAAAGAAAAAAAAAGATGAAAATCTTATCTCAAAACCCAATCTTTTCTGCGTCTCTTCTTCTTCTTCTTCTCCAAGTCTCCAACGCTTCAGCCGCAGACCAAACATCCGATTCAAACCAAACAATTATGAACTCAAACCAAACCAACCTGGATTACATCAAAACATCATGCAACGCCACTCTCTACCAAACCCTATGCTACAGTTGTCTCTACCCTTACGCCTCTCTGATCGATTCCGACCCCGAAAAGCTCGCCATCACCGCTCTCAATCTCACCCTCTCCGAGACCAAATCCACCCAAAGGCTCGTCAAGTTCATCTCCCGACGCCGCCATGCAAGCCTCGGGCCTGGAGAGGCGGGCGCC